GAATTTGTCAAAGAAGGGTAAGATGTAATGAAAGGGACATTTTGACGAATAAGCTAAACTAATTTCTAGTCTCACGAAACCTCATTCAACTCGAATCATTTCATGCTCTTAAACCTCGATAGTTTGAGAACCACCCTTTTATTTCTCATCTCAAACCTTGATGGTGGAAGCAGCTATTTTGTTTCCCATCCAATGAAAACTTTCTGAAGAGATCGTTGTGTTCTTTCTCTCTACGCGAGCCAAGATGGGACGTAGCGACCGTTTGTTTTTTCTCTTCGCGCAAACCTGGATCGTTTGATCAGTCATTTTGTTTCTCATCTCGCCCAGATAGGTCATGTTGTGTTTTTTTCCCTACACCTAGCTAAGATGGACAAGAACCACCACCCTTTTATTTTCTCATCGAACGAAGATGGATTGGGGAGACCATTGTGCTTTTTTCCTCTTTCTCTCTCTCTTCGCGAACCAAGATGAGGTAAAGTGACCATTTTTTTCTCTGCTCTTAAACCTTGATTGCTTGAGCAGCCATTCTTTGTCGCATCTCACCCAAATAGGACATTTTGTATTTTTTTCCTACACCTAGACAAATTTGACGTGAGCTACCCTTTTATTTTCCCATCGAACTAAGATGGATGAGTGAGACCATTGTGTTCTCTCTCTCTTCGCGAAACGAGACGGGGCGTAGCGACCATTTGCATTTTTCTCTGCGCGCATACGTCGATCGCTTGAGCAGCCATTTTGTTTCCCAGCTCACTCAGATATAGCTCGTATTGTGTTTTTTTCCGACACCTAGCCGAATTTGACATGAGCCATCCTTTTGTTTTCCCATCCAATTAAGATGGATGAGTGAGACCCTTTTGTTTTCCTCTCTTCACCAACCAAGTCCGGCGCAACGACCGTTTGCGTTTTTCTCTGCGCGCAAACTTGGATCGCTTGAGCAGCTATGTTGTTTCCAGCTCACCCAGATAGCTCGTGTTTTTTCTACACCTAGCCAGGATGGACGTAAGCCATCCTTTCGTGTTCTGATCGAACCAAGCCACCATTTTGTTTCTCAACGGAAAAGAAAATTTTCCGAATGCGTACCGGTGTTCAATTTCTTTTGTGACCGACTGTACCTCAGGATTTAACCGTGGATACAATTTTTTCTAACGAATCGAATACTTTTCTGAAGTACCTGGACCAAAGCATGCCCCTCCTCCTGATTCGAAACTAATTGAATATTTCAATAATTTTGTTTTCCAAGTATACTAACCAACAGCAGCGTCTTCGCATTCTCGATACAAAACAAGAGAAGCGCCGTGTTTTTGGCATACGACAAGTGAAGCGCGCGCCGGACTCAAACGGTTAATGAACTTTTTTTAAGCAAAGTATTAGTACACTGTAAAATCAGCCAGTTTTATATTAGCTTCTTCATTAATTACCTTTCGTAAATAATGAAGTTTGTTTTATTTGTATCAATAAATAAATACTCTTACATTATGAAAATAACTTGAGTAATTTGCATATTTTTCACTTAAAAGTTTTCTAATATTTAGTTTATGAGCTTCAGGAGTTTCTCTTACAGAAAGTTGTAAAAAGCATTCTAATATAAATCTTGCCTTTGCATTTTAAATTCAATGATTAAATGTAGTACTTCGAGTGTTTTTAGTTTTAAGTTCAATTAGTATTTTGAATTAATTAACGAAAAATGCCACAGACAAGTTCTATGCACTTAAGCCCCGTTCACAAGAGCAGATTCGACCGGTAGCGAAAACCGGTTCTTCCAATGTGTCCCATTCACATGCAAAGATTGTTCACATGGGACAAGCATTAACTGCTTCGCCGAATTGGAGGTAAAACTTGGTTGAATGTTCCTTTTCTCTCGGGAGCAGGGCAAATGGGGAGATTTGCGGTACTATGCTGCGCGGTTCACTTAATATTAGTTACTGCTCGCTGGACTGTCAGCGAAACAATCGTGCTGATAGATAGCATTCTCCCTTAAAAATACGTAGAACTGTGCAAGATACGGAAATTATAGACAAATACAGACAAGGTTATCTGATGATAGGTATTCCAGAAATATCGTTTAAATTAAAACTAAAGTTAAGACAAGTGCACATCGGCTTCCAATGCGACAAGGGACTCGGTACCTTTTGAATGATTTTTTTTTTAATTTAAGCATTCTTATCTACTTTTTATGAATATTATTAAATGGTTTTGTGAGACAAAATAATTTTAAGCTGAAAAAAAGTTTTTGCTGGTAATTTTTTTTTAATTTAAATTTTTGAAGAAAAATTTTACAATTAAAATGTCTTTCTTCTCCTACAATTTTCAATGTCTCCCCCGAGTTTTTTTATTGTATCAATTAGAGTGTTCTTAATAACTTCAAGGAATGATTTTGCAATTAATGAATTAGTTTCTGAAAAAAAATACACTTTTATCTAAAATCTTTAAAAGAAATATGATTTCAGTCACATTTTCATTTCAAATAATTTTTCCTTTCAGGATTTTGCAAAACCCATCCTTGTTTCTATAAAGTATGTAATTTTAAATAAGGCAGTAAAAATAATTTAGTCCATACCTGTATATGCTTTAGGACTTTTAAGTTAAAGGATTTATTGAAAAAAATGCAAAAGGTTTCTCAGTTTGCATTTGCAGTTTAAAGAATACAAACTGTCTAAATTGACATTTAACCATTTCAAATCTTAAAAATTTTATTACTGAATTTCAATACACACACACACATATATTTATCACACACATATATATCGACGAGATTTCCATGTGATTATATATATATATAAATCAAACCTAGTGCTATTTATTCAATTGGTAAATATAAACATAAATTACAATCCTTTTTTTAAACCTATGTGGCCAGAAAAATTGCAAAAACTCATAATACGCAAGCAGAATTTTTCTTTACCTGTTTTTGATTTGCAAAACACGTTCAAAACAATTTCAATACATTAATTAATTATAATATTGTGCATACAGGTTTGTAATAGATTGATAATAGTTCGTAAATGATTGTCATTGCACTCAAATCCGATGATAGCTTAATTAAATTTATTTTATCAACAGAAACACTTCAAAGTTTTCGAATTTTCCACAGAAGTACTCGTACAAGTGTTTAGAATATCACTAAGTATAATCAGTAATTATGCTTCAATCTAATAAGAACATTAAACACAACGGATTGCAAAACGCATCTTAAGAGAAACTTAACTCAGAAATATCTCCAATCTCACACTGAACTAACAACTGGCAACAATAACAACTTATATAGCATAAAAAATGTCATAAAAATAGTGTGGTATAATGAGATTATTACTTTGAAACCGATGTTTCAAATTGATGCCCAAGAAGAACCAATATTTCCCATATCTTTTTAAAAAAGTAAAAAAAAAAAAAAAAAAAAAAAATCATCCAATTAATTTCCTTTATCATTTTTTTTAAATGCGAAAAGTTTGTTTTATAAGCTGTGAAAATGTCGGAAGTTTGTAACCGATATATTTTTAGATATGAAATTTTAAATTTAATGGCCGTCAAAAAGTCTAAAAATATGAACGATTTTAAAAAAAATTCTCCCAAAATATTTTTTAAAAAAATTACGCTAAAATTTCATTTTTTCCCCCTCCACAGTGTGTTATGATGTGAACTATAATATTCTGAGATTCTCAGTTTATTTGTTAATATTTGCAAAACATCGTTTCAACTTTAAATTTGAAAAAAATCTAATCCTCTAAAAATCAAAAGCGTGACACCACATCCACGTACAAAGTTTGAGTTCTTTATTTTATCGGGAAGCAGTTTTAAAAATCTACGACCATCTTTTAACCATAGCAACAAGCACCACGAGTGAACTAAATAACAGCTTATAAAATAATATTAAAAAGCATATATTTTTCAGGAACCGTTATGAAGTTCAGGTACCAGTTGTGAAAGTACAGATTACAAAATTAACAACAGTAAACAACATTAAAAACGTGTAAACAGTATTAGAAATCTGCCAATTCGGAGACGTGATTGCTCACAGAGGCTTAGGTGTAAAGGGAAGGAAGATGGTGGTTTTCTGAACAGGTCCTAAAGACAAAACTCTTCTAGGTTTGTAATGCTATACAAACAAGAGGCACTTATGTTATGAAGACGATGCGGTATGCATCAAAAATAGCTTTTTAGCCTATTCGCTCAATGCATAGGATTTGTCTATGGTATTTTTCATTAATTCAAATTGCTAAAAAGTCTTTACATTTTCTAATTATAAATTTAAACAGAATTTTTGCCACATTTTGGCTCTTCAGATGTGCTTTATCCATTTAATGAGGGACACGGAATTGTCAGAAAGTCAATAAAAATGAACAGTGATATTTCGTCTGACCATTTGGGAGGGGGGGTTATAGCTATTTTAGGTTCTAGTCAATTTTCTTGTTATATATCTATAATGAAGTAAATAATCCAGATAACCTCTATAAAGTTCAGTTCTTCATTACTGAAGTAGAGGGGAGACCCCCAAAGAAGTTTTTGCCCTGGGCTCTTGCTAGTGGTATAAGAAAAGAAAAACACATAAATGAGAGTACAATTTAATCAGTGATTAAGCTGTGAAACACACATTAAGTATACAAATATAGTATGGTTAAAAAAGCTTATTAAAAAAGTAAAGCTTCTTAAGGCATTACACCCCAGAATGTTTGTTTTAAAAATGTACTCTTACTTATTAATGAAATCTGAGTCTGTTAGGAATGGCAATATACTTAGTGAATCCAAATGTGTTTAAATGTTTTGCTAAAAGAGTATCCTGCTTCCTTTGCTTAATATTAAGTAAAATACTACTGCTCAAGTATTATTTCCGAGGGACACTTGGCAGCCATAAACAAGTAATTCAAAAAATTCTTGCACAAATTCATTTTTTTACATGATGCAGTAACAAATTTTTCCGTCACTAGTATTCATATTATTCCGTTGATCTAGTAAGATGTACTTGATGTTTATGATGTATTTTTTTAAATTAGACAAGACAGCAATACAGATTACACAAACCTTTAATGCTGAAAGTTACCCCCAGTACAGTACAAAAATCAGCTAACATTACATAGGTATTCTCAGCATAACGAAATCAGAAGGGAAGAGAGATTTCCATGTGAAGGCCCCAAATTTGCAGCTAGACTTTTGCTCATAACCAGGGAAAACCTGACAGTGAGTAAGTCTCAAAGGAAGGAATGTATTTATATTTCCCCCTTGGAATCACATTTGCAGAAGGGTAATTTTTATCTTTTTTGTCAGCTGCTTTCTCAAAGAGCTCATTGGAGAAAATAATGAAAATACTACAATACACGGAAGTCTCTCATCCCTTTTACATCGTTAGGTAACATTCTTAGATGCGTGCTTCAGTTGCAAGAACCTGAGAACCACAGACTTTTTTTTGTACCCTGGTGGTTGCTAAGTGCACAAATCACAGGGACGATCAGATCAGGAATATAAACATCTGCTTTGCAACTTTCTTCTTTTCGCTGTTAACCTTAAAATTTCATCTACACCGTTCCATACATTTCAAAATACAAACCAGCATTTTTTTTTTTTATAATTTCAAAAAAATTCTAGTTGTACACTTATAAACACACGTCGACTTTTTGTGGCAACAATGGTTTTGGTCAGTCTGTTTATAATAAAGCAGGAATATATTTCTTCTTAAAGGAACAATATGTCTTTGCACAGGTGGTAACATTAAAATCACTGTCTTGTACATGATCTGAGCAAAAATTACAAGGCCAGCCTCATACATATTTGATCAAATATATATAAAGCAGCAAAATCTGGTTTGACTACAATTTTTCAATACATATTTTAAATCGAGTAATAGCTCGAACAACTGACAAACATTACACTTTCTTTAAATTAAATGATACATTGCAAGTAGGCTGACTAATGTCATCCAATAAGAGGTTTTAGCCACAACTTTTAAAGTTTTGGAAGTTTAAGTGGCAGTGCGTTTCAATCTCCATTGTTTGGCCTCGCAATGCACATTCAATTTAAAAAAAGGCTTTTTCAAACTAACATAAGCAGGTCACTTAAGATCCATACTCTGTACACAACACTTCTAAATCTAGAACTACACGACACTTATATTTTTTTTTATCTTTTTTGTTTTTTTAAATCTTAAAGGAACGATTTTATCTAATAATGCTCAACATAATTTCAGATCACATATTAGATAGACCCTGAGCAACAAAAACAACCACATTCATGTACAATTACTACTGCTTACAATGTTTACATAACATCAATACACAAAGTTACCTGTACATCATCGCATGTAATTCAGGAACAATACTCACATTATGAAAAGCAGTTAAACAGGGATCAAAATACTGGCTATACCATAGTTGCCCTCACAAACATATCTATTCAAACTAAGAGAGAATACATTGGTCAAGATTAAAATGGTGGCACTATTATATCGCAATATTTTTCAGTAAACCATTCCCAGGTCAGAGATGAATATTTGCACTGACAAACTGTTATCCTGCCGCACAAAACTTGCTTAACTACTGGTAAAATGCGCAGAGACTGGACCAGATTTACATTCAACGTTCCTCATGGTTCTGAAAATATTTCATGGTTTTATGAAAATGTTTAATTCACTGAATGGAATGCATAGGAATTTATAACCTTTGAAGGTTAAATTCTAAAGAAAAAAAAAAAAAAACTGACAATTTCAAGTCATGCTAAGCGTCAGAACCACAAGGAAGTTTATTTTTTCACTACCTTTTACCTCACAGTAGGTTCGTTGTGTTCGTGTTTGAGATTATTTTGAGTTTAAAAGGCACATTTAATTTTTTTTTTTTTTTTTTTGGAACCCACAAACCAGCAACAATTTTTTTTCTTTCATTTTATATTTTGAAGGATTCTTACTGAGTTGGAGGGCTTCAGAGTAGTTGGCTTGTTAGTGATTGCTGGGTTTTGAGAAGCAAAGCCATCCACTTTCTACTTTTTAACTCCCGACGTGACTAGGCGGGTAATGGAAATGCATAGTGCGGATATTTCCGACACAGGTCGGTGCCATTATCACATAGGACGAGCTTTCGCCATTTAAGATCGGATATACAGGCAGGACTTTGATAATGATGCAGATACTGCAAAATGTCACTACCAACTGTCCTTCAGCTGGTTCAATTTAATTCAACAAGCAGTACATGTTTAAGTAATATCATCGAATTTTATGTTTTTTGATAAATGGCGGGATCAATAAGAAACAAACCTTTTCCCCTACATCCATTAATTTGGCACAATATTAAATATCTTCAGTGAGCAGTACATTATACTATGGGGTATAAATACACATATAAAGTAATTGCACTAGATATATTTATTTAAAAACACAAAATTAATACTAAAAGTATACAATGCCAAAAAGGTTTTACATAATGATATGATCTGCTAAGTATAAAATAATGAAAAAAGAATTTGATATTTCTTTGGAAATGTTACACAAAAACAAAGAGATTAACAATAAATTCTCAGCATGAAACAAGTTACCACCAAAATAATTTACACAGCAAGCAAAATAAATCAAATACGAGATTATGAGAAATAATGAACACAAACCCATTTGTAAGTATTTAATACCTTTTCACACACCGTTTCTTTATTCTACAAAAAATTTTAAAATATCAAAGTTATAATCTCTTTTTAAATAAAAACATGACAGAATTTGTAACATTTGAGCATCCTTCTCCTTTGGAACATTAACCTTTTGATTACAAAAACACATGGGTCTCAAACTCATAGGAATATGTACCCTATATTTTATCCAGGGTATGCATGAAAAGATTTTAGCTTCCTGAACATTTGACACAGGAATATAATTTTTGTACATCATTATATACAACACTTAAACAATTAATGGAAACTTTAAAGCAAAATTTTTGCAAAAAATAATATGACAACCAATATATTTAACTTATCACAATGGTGGGTTCTTAACTCATTAAATAAAATCATAATAGTCTTGAAAAATTAATTTATACTGATAACATTTTTGGCACTTAAAAACCAATTCCAAACAGCAATCATAGCTAATGTTTCTTCTCATTCAAAAAATTCACCATGTAACTTTAAAAAAAAAATATTCATATTTACAACACACATCAGCACTGCAAATGAAAGATATGACAGTATTCAGGATGTATGGAATGAAAACAATTCAATGAATTATAAATCAATCTACAGATTTCAGATAAAAGATAGAAATAAAATTCATAAAAATTTACACTGGAGATGAAGGAGTTAGAGTTTTATGATAATGAATTGTGTTTATCTAAAATAATTTCAAGAGTATTCAACTACTGATTATTAGAAGAAACACAAGACTACACTTAAGATAAAAAGTTGACATAATCAAATCTAATTTATACAATTCTTTTTCAAATTTTGTATTTACAGTAATACCTGGATAATGCTTTTGCATTACATGAGGTGTAATGATTTTAAAGAATATATTTTAATAATGTAAAAATAGTTTGTTTAAATATATCTTTTACTGTCATTTTAAGATTTCAAATACTGATGAGAGTAAGAAATTTGAACACTTCCATAAAGATTTTTAATACAATATTATTCAAATTCCTGCATTCTGTACAAATTATCATGGAATAAAAATATGAAAAAATTATATTAATTTATACCAATTTTTAAGTATTACAATGATATATCACTTCAATCAACAATGAATTTTTTGACTAGTTTTATGAGAAAAAATAAACGACAGACTATTTCTCACTCCCTATAGAATTCAATCTATCATGTTTTTTTTTGCAAGTAAATGCATTTCTAGCTTTTGTGCATATTTCATCGGTTTCTGTCACAAAAATAGACCCACACAAATGCATGAGGAAATTTAAAAGTTTAGGCACAAATATAGATTTACAAAGTAAAAACGTTTTTAAACATCTGACTTCTGATGTTTGTTCTGCAAGTTACAAAAATAAAATATTTTCTAAAAATTTGGACAATTATTTAGTATGACTTAAAATAAAAACTAAGTCTTCAATGTACTTTAATAAAAATAGAAAAACTGCTAATAAAATCAATATTCAAAGTAAGCTCTACCAAGAACTAAAAATGTTAAATAATTTGCTCTTTTCCTTTGGGGACATAAGATGAGATTTAAAAACGTACATGCGAGTAAAAGAAAAATCAATCCATACGTGTAATAAGCCTCATTACATGACAATACTTCAGATTAAAATGTAAAACAAATTTCATCAGAAAAAAAAAAAAAAAAAAAACCTTAACTGTTTCCAAAAAGGCTAAAATAATTAATGACTGGTGATTTCAGCCAAATTGCAAACATTTCTCAAATATGGATTGCACTCTGGTTTCTTTAAAAGATGAATTATATCACTTTTTTTCTTGCAAATTTGTTAACCTTAACACTTTTTAAGCTCAAATACCAAGTTTGAGACCCATGTTCCTTCACTTTTCTGCAATCATTGTAAAGCTTAAAGCAAAATCTTTAGATTATCAATTTTGTAACATTATCTGTAACTATTTGCTTCATTGGCGAGTGAATGGAATGGTCACCTATAATTATTGATACCAGATGTGAGCACTCACCGGAATAAATGTGCGTTAAGCTCTAATATATATTTCTTCGCAAAAAACCTTGATAATTCATTCATTACAGAAGAAATTTTTATGGCATGTTAATGCTGAATGACTGTTAGGAGATTTTGGTGCCTTATCTCATTCATACTTCCTGAGAAAACATTTACAAAAGATTTTTTTAATATATATTTACATAGTACAGCTGCCAAACACAGTTGTAGAAATAAATTCCTCAATGCAAACAAAGAACATATAACATCTGTGGCACAGGAATCGTTTTAAAAACATTAAAAGTTAATTTTTTTTCAGATTGCATGACCTTTTACCGTGGCAGTAAAAGAAAGGGGGGGGGAAGATGCATGCACAATTGAAAAAAATTTTTTTTTTCTTTATAAGTCTTTTTCCTTTGTCTTTCTGTACATGCACAGAGAGTAAAATAAAATGATTTTGGCTTCATTTAAAGGCTTTAAAAATATAGAATATTTAAATAATACAGCAATAAAATCAGAACACTTAAAATTAGCATACAACACTTAAAACTGGAACTTTAATGCATAATAATGCACAGTCACAACAGATGTATCTTGAACATCAAGTTCATCAAACAAATGATTAACAAATAATAGATACTTATATATTATGATTATCACAATTTATCAACTTGAGACTTAGAATGTTATATGCTGCTCATAATAGATCTGAATATATTAACCAGTTTCACCATATTCATAAAATGCACATTTTATAGACAAAGATTCACAGACAAGTTTTTCAGTCCTAGCTACTAATTTAATTGAGACTCCAAAAAACTCACACCATGTTACTGTTAAACTGAAAATCAGAAAATGCATTATATGAGCTTCATTTGTAAAAAAATAGTCCAAAACATCAATTTACTCCTTTTGCAGTAACATTTGCACTCATCTGCTGAAGTACACCACATCTTCCCACAGAAAAATATATCCACATTGTTAAAAGAAAATTAAAATGCATCTTCAAATGCATACCCCAAGGCAATTTGAGTGCAAAAATACTAATCACAATATTATGCAACGAGCAAGGGGCTTTGAAATAAGACGTATATATATATATATTTGATTTTTTTGGGGAGAGGATCAATCCACATTTTCTGTATTGCATAAAGGGTTTGCACATAGTGAAATATGGCAAAGAAAAAGGCATAGGACTGTAACAAGTTCTCTTCCAGAACTGGCATATTTCCTGAACAAACAAAATCACACTGCAAACAGGAAAACAGGAGCCTAGTCTAGAAGCTATCTTCACAGACATGGGATTCATTCACTTGTGCCATTCCTGTTTTGTTTCTGGAACAAAGAATACTATTGTTAAGTGCAGATATTACCAAGTTTGGTCCATGGAATATTCCATATTTCTGCACCTTAGTTTGACCAATGCACACTTTTATATCAAGGAACAGCAGAAAAATTCAACAAGAAATATACAAATTACAAAAATGTGCTACAGAATTTTGAAGTGAGCTTTGAGTAGGTAATTCCACAAAATTCAAACTTGGGGGGGGGGCTACTGGGTGCAGATTAATAAATATTACAAATTGATATCGCACTTATGATCAAATATATTATTCATCTTAAGACTTGACAAAAGATGCAACAAATTTACAAGACTTAAATACCCCATTCTCATTAAATAGTACATAAACATGCCATCCGAGATCAACCTTAGCCTTAACATTAAAAGAAAAGTAGTGAACATCAACTTGTCATGGGGGGGACATGCCTTCAATTTTATTGGCTAGAACTAAAATAATAAATTTTTAAAAATTAATAAAGCACCATAATATACAAAAAAATTAGCCTGATATTGCATATGGCCAGTTCTTTGGTTACTTTCTTTACAATATGTGCATATTACTTATCTGAAATTATATTACATCATAAAAAGTAATAAATTAATACATCATAATCTCATACTATGTGATTACTACAAAACTGAATTTAAATTACCTTCAGTGGAAAAGGAGGAACGTCAGAATGGAATGCTGGCCATGCTTTTGGATCGAAGACCTAGCACCACAATACGACGGAGATGCAAGACCAGAGGATGAAAATTATACTCAGCAAAAGAGACCAAAACTATTGGATATGGTAAAGCGTGGACGGTAGAGCTTGCCTACAAATTGCTAGCCCCGTGTTCTTCCACTGAACAGCACAACACATACATTTACACATACTTATGTACAGATATATATATATTTTTTTAAGCAATGGAAAGCAAAGCGAATTTTTGCTGATGTAAGGCAATGATGCAATTTAATTTTGCTCTACACAAAACTTGCATGATTAAAGTAAAGGATGGATGAGTGACTTAATTTGCCATATTCAAATGGCCACAAAAACAGTTTGCTTTAGCCTTTCTTAAATATTTGTGCATGGAAAGCAAACTAAAATTCTTTTGATTAAATAAGGTATATATATATATATATATATATATATGTATATATATCATATATTGCTGAAGTACAGCATCAATTAAAATGGCACAGAGATGATCTTTGGGCCTACAAGAACCATCGCAGGTTCATTCCAACTGGATACCCGCTTGGTCCATTAACTTAAGCACCAGAGGCACAAGGGAAAGTTGTGTGGCAACCTCTAGCACATGAACTTGTCAAATTGCAACGATTCCTTTAAGTACAGTTGACGTGATGGAAGTTTGTTCCAAACAACGCTCTAAATGATGCATGGGTTAAAAAAACTTTTTTAAATACAAAACAAATATAAGACTTTTATTTTCTAAAATACATTAATTACTTCAAGAGTGTCTAGGGCACTGACAAGGCTAGATTTCAATGAGGTGGGATGAGAGTTCTCCAAAGAAAAACGTATTCCAATTGCGCAATACGATTTACATCTCGTAAACAAAGAGGCTGATATGTTTATAAAAGCTAGTTATCTTTCATTCAAACATGGGATGTCTGAGCAGATCAGTTTTCCTATGTCAAAATGTGAAACATCCATCTGACTAATGTGTACAGATGGGCCACATGCATTTTCACAGCAATGATGGAAAAAAGATTGCTCCAGAAGAATGCATGTTCAGGGAACATGATCACACATTCACAATAACACTGAACACGTGCTTTCATGTGCACATACGCATACACATACACACACACACACACAAACAAGTACATACATACACATGCACACACACAAATGAGTATTATTTTACATCACAAAAGAAATTGCATTAGTAATAAAGTATATCACTACTGCTAATCACCGGGGCAACATACCTTTCAGCATCCAAATAAGAACCAATTCTTACAAAAATCAGTTTACTATGTAACATGAAGTGGTTCCCAAACTTTTAGGTATGCACACCCATTGCACAGACAGTTAATACCCTTACCTGCCACCTTGAAATGTGTTCCCTGCAATATAGTAATTGACTGGAATGTTTTTGAAAAAGGCTATGTAAGACTATAATTCGATTTTTTTAAACTGCAACTGTCAACTAAATATCCAATTTTGCAGAAGGGAAGGCGCACCCCTTTGAGAACCACCAGCTTTAAAAAAGGAAAGCTGATGTGATGTATTAGTTACAAGTTTTTGCCTTGGAAGAAAAAGGATATATATATACACACACATACACTTTTTTTTTTTTTTTTCCTTTGTATTATTTCTAGAGGGGGATAAAATATTCTGCAGCAAGCTCTCTGATTTGATCATTGAAAGGTGAACTTTGGCAAGCTATCAAAGTGCTGATGAAAAGGCAAATGCCACACATCAAGAGAATGTGCAAAGATTCAAAAAAGAAAAAGGCAAAGATGAAGAGCACTCTCTAAATGCCGCCATTTGCCAACATTAGCACCAGGTATAAAAACTACACAAAATGCACTTTTTTAGATTAATTTTCAAATATTGATCACATTTATAGTTGACTTAGTGGGGAAACATTTCCCCGAATCTGTCTGCTATTTGATATTTATATTTACTTTGTTATTTCCAGCAAAACAGACACATGTACTTATTTTTATCACACAATTTCAAGTGGATTCTCTCACTACACAATATGCAAAGACAAATATTTCACACATTCCAAAGCACATGGAATTTGGGAGGAAGTTAAGACTCTCAAGCTCAAGGATTAAAACTTTTGTCAAAATTACATTTAAAGCCTAAATGCATTAAAAAAATTTTCAATTAAAATATATGAAATAGGATTCATATTTTCTAAAACTTCTAAGAATTAAGATTCGTTTCAGTTATGGTCCTCGAGGTGGAGAACCTTACGAACCCTCCCTAGTAAATTATCAGTTTTCATGTAAATAAACATTAAAGTCAATTAACACATACTTCCAAATAATTAAAATGCAACTATTTTCAGAAAGACTTATCAAACACAGCACTTAAGATCAACATTAAACTTAACTTACTTTTTACAATAATTTCAAAATATTAATACATACCAATAATATACAATTCTTTCAAAAAAGAAAAGGGGAGAAGCAGCTCTCATTGGGATAGAATAGCACAATAAATCATAACATTAATTTACAGCAACAAATTCACAAAATACACAAATCTCAAATAAACCTTTTTCTATAGTCAAAAACAAAATGAAACTATCTGACAATCGACATATAATTTACTTGCAATTTGCAAAATAATAATAAAAAAGAATCATGCAGATGATCTGTCCAAGTCAATACCATCTACAATGCAGATCAAGCGAATCCAAACATCTGATGACTAAGAATGTGTTCGATAATCCACCAAAACAGATTGATATGGCAGAAATTTCTTTTTAAGGCTTTTCTCCTGTGGCACTTAAAATACTGGAGAAAGTTTCAATACTTTAATATAGTCGTTTGATTTGCTCTCTTCAGTATTAATCTATGATTGTAACCGAGCAATATCCAACATGCTCGAATCAGGCAATCAAATGGTCAAAAAGGTAATACAGTGTTACAATAGCCAAGGGGGAATATCACACTCTAGCATATGCAATCATAGTTCATTTTATCATGTAGACAATTACACATACTGGAAGAAGCAACATGGCTATTGTAACGTGAAAGTGTTCATATCACATTAACGCAAGACTTGGGCATTTAACCCATTAATGCTGCCCAAGATGGCGAACATCAGTTTGATCGTCCATCTCTGGCAATGTGTAAATGCCTTTACTCATATTATGGCATTTTCAAAGTTTTTTTTTAAAAGCATCTCACAGATTATTTAGAATGTAATGAGATGCAAAGGAGGGGAACTCACTCACATGGGCTCACCACCTAGCAGATCACCAGGAAGGTAGGAGTTCATAGGATTTGTACTTGCATCATGATCGTTGCTTGGCTGACCAGAGCCCCATAAGCTGGAATTGGAAAATGACCACAGCTGAGAAGTAGATACATTTCCATTCCAGTTGGAACTGCCAGCACCATTAGTGGAACCACTGTAAAAAGCAGAAGAACTGGCTCCATGATAGCCACTTGTTCCCCCACCACTTTGCTGTTGCTGAGATGAGGGCCATGTATTATTGCCACTCTGACCAGAAGACACTTGGAGGTATTGTTGAATTTCGCCTTCACTAGGGATGTCAGCGAGCATTGTCGTGTTTCCTAGAACACAATTATTCAGTGCAGATTGGGCCTTGGACGCTTCTTCACGAGTGGAATAGCGGACTAAAGCTACTCCTCGATTTAAAAAGAGATGAAACATTTGCAATGGGCCATGTTGCATACACAGGGTTTTCAGTGTTGATCCATCAATCTATATAAATATATTAATGGTAAGCAAACTCATCTACATGAATATTTAAACTTCGGCTACTCATACATATAAACAAGATACACTTAAAAAGTTTATTTGGCACTAAAAGAAAATGAAAAAAGTTAGTTGAATAATTTTTATTTATTTATTTTTATTTTAGAAGCATATAGATTAGATTATTATTCCACACAGTCAATGAGGAACTTACTGCAGCTGAAATGAGCTACAAAACTGAAAATCCTTCAACAGCTTTTGCATACTGAAGTACTTTGGCCATGAAAAATTCAATCGTAAATCACTGATATGAAGGGAAAATTAACAATTGGACAGAGGGCATGGAAGAACTGTGTATTGTGGAAGAGGGCAATGCAGTTGGCATGTCCCTCATAATGAACTTCATGGAGAGTTTACATACCTGATATTAGCCATTATACATTTTGTCATTCATAGTTCCAAAACATGCATAAATGAACTGTACATGGGATGATTTTTCTGACACGATACACAAATGATAAAAGGTTTCCCGACTCCCACTGTAACTGGGAATGAAACCTAAGTTAGTCATCAAGTAATAATCCATGGATGCCATCATTTAGTTATCCTGCAAACAGAAACATGCAGATCCCTCTCCAGAAGTCAATTACTACTGCCTGGACATAACATTATATTATTGATATAATAGTATACTACTTATTGATTTACGCATAATCATTGAAATGAAGCACTGAAGTCCCAGACTAGTCATTTAAAAACAGAAGACATATCTCCTTACCTAATGGTGTGATCATCTTTCCCAACAAAGCCTCGCTGCATGTTGTCACATCATACAACTACTACTGCAGAACGTTCAGTAGAAGGTTTGGAAACACACAATTTATGGGCACTATCTCATTTCCACTGAATACTTCCTTTTTATAAAATTAAAAGAAATTTTTGGTAGAAAGCACTTTGCTAATGACAAAGGGTTCCAGTAAATAATAACTGCATCTCTTATCATACCGAAATTAGTGATACGAGCATACAAAATCTTGTCTTTCCGATTCTTATTGAGCTTCTCAATACTAAGAACATCTAAGTGGAATAAATACCCTAAAGTATGCACTTTCAAAATAAAAACGATTTATCAATCTTACTTTTTTTTAATAAAACTAAAAACAGTTTATGGAAATAATATAATACTAAAATCTCCCAGTTTACATATTACAAACATCCATCTATACATCATATAATAAATCAATTCATGGAATGAATGCAAATTACCTGTGGTGTCAAATTCCTCAAAATTAAGAAAGTTGAGTTGTATGGGCGTTCCCAACCTGAAATAAACCACAACACATGTAAATTTTTCTTTATACATATTACAATAAATGAAAACAAAAAGGAACATAACCGATGTAACTGCTCTTACCTTGGCCAGAAAGGCCAGGTGGAGGGTTTCGTGCTTTGGATATTGATCCCCACAGATCTGAAGATGCTCCAAAATCAGATGAGCTCCAGCTGTTTTTTCCATTTCCAGACTTTCCAGTTGAGCTAAAATAATTTTACGAATGAATATTTCAAAATTTAACAAAAAATTAATTTCCTAAACAAAAGTTTTTGCATGACATCAGATGTAAAACTACCATAGCACTTTACTCACATCAAATGTACAATGCAATTTTCAATAGAAAATTGTTTTTTGTATAACACACACAACTCTGAAAACCATTGGAAGTCATAAAAAAAGTATTGCTAAAGTATCTGTATGGCTAAAGTATGGATGTAACATACATAAGCATGAATTTGCACTTCCGGAAATTCAATCATTTTTGCACTAGTGTTTCCTTCTGCACTGAGAATACTTTATTTTTCTTGCAAAGAATTATAACAGGACTGTGAAGTCATGAAAAAGAAAGTGTTGCTTACTGCAGGAATAACGATGTTTTGCCTAAGATTTTTTTTTTTGGGGGGGAAGCCACTTTATGAAGTTGTATTTCTTAAATGACTAAATTTTATGGAATGTGAATTTCAGGGCAGCATTAAATGCAAGTAAAGTGTTAGAATGCGAGTTGCATATTCCTTTGAAGGCAGCATTTCTAGTTTACAATACTTATTTGCTTTATTGCTGATCGGTATGCAATTCTAAACTACCAGTACTATCACTATTTAAAAGGTTCATACACATTTCTGCACATGAAAATTAAGGACTTTTAAGGACCATTAATGAAAAAAATTAACCCCTTCGAGCCGGGTAGCGAAAACACGTGCTTATCGCGGAGGCCAGCAGTGTCTTACGCGAGCGTCTCTCCATGGCCGGGGGCTTTTTTGCTACTAAGCCTAAATCCACGAAATTTCCGAAGTATCAACGCATTGTTTAATAATGCTCTATAGAGTATTTAAACGGCTTATGCTTTATAGATATTATATATATATACTTTAATTACCTTACTCTTGTTTAAATGCATATTTTACACATTTTTTTTAATTACTCCCCATTTTATGACTTTTAACATATACATCTGAAAACTAAATATATTACTTAAAATTATCTTTCGTATGAAAAATTTGAAAAAGGGATCTACACACAGTCCTACATTACATTCCTTGAACTGTAATAACTCATCTGCGTTTGGAGTATTTTCCCAGGAATGTGAACAAACGAAGCATCGTCGTCTCATTTTCTATCAGTCTCTTCTGAACAAAGTTTTGGAAAAGTCTTTCAGTTAATCTTCAGAATCAATATCAGAATATCAGAATTTCGGAATCAATATCTGAAATATTTGCATCATTCTGCTATTTCATGCTCTGTTAAACTTTTCGACGCTTCGACATTGAAACGGTAAAAACAGAAAGATTCAAGTCTAACAAGATCTAATTATTTTCTAAAAAACTGAACGGTAAACCGAAATACTCAACGCTTTAGCGCATATAAAACTTCTACTTACAATAAACAATTACCATGTGCAAATAAAGTGTGATTTAAAGAGACGTCATAAATCACGCCATTCGGAAACATTTAGTTCCCCGTTTGTTTATATAATCAAAAACACGTGTATGTGAGTCACGCTTCTCTCATTTCGAGTAGAAGGTCTAATGTACATGTATCTGAAACCATATAGACATACAGTGCCATCTTGTGGCAGAAATTATAGTTTGAAAAACATTCCAGGGTACTGGCACAAATACGTGACAGTCAGTAGTAACGCGAAAATGCTCTGGCATGCCTGCGTGTCGGCCAGTAGGTAAGTGTGTTTGTTGTTGGCACGTATACGTGACAGTCGGCGCAAAGGGGTTAAGAATCTATGAGCAAATGGAAACTTAATAAATTCAATTAAAAATATTATTTTATGCCTGAATTTCACATTTGCAATACCATCCTAAAAATAAAATAGATCCCTAAGTAGTATGCATTATTACTATACATGAATTAACATAATTATTCATAAGTTAGACAATAAAATAAATTTTATGAAATTTATTAAGTAACATTAAATATTTTACACTTATAATAGTTGGATATATTTGAAAGACAATAAGTGACATTTACATATTACTAATAGTTAGATATATGTTGATTTTTTTATGTCTCATTTTGTCACATACTTGGTCAGTCTAGAGGTTTAATACATAGTAAGTAGATTTTATGTCAAGCAGCATAAGTTAAAATGAGAAGCAAGATCATAATCAGCATGATTCATAACAAAAGACTGAATGTTGTCACACCTGCTGCTTGTCTAGACAGAGACCTGCTGATTAGAACAAACCTGAAAGGCCTAATGTAGGCACAGTTGGCCAAGTGTTGAAAGTTAGTCAGGCTCTGTTTGATGCAGTTAGTATCATACCTTGTGTAGAGTTCCAGAGGTTGTAACCCAGTTAATATACTTTAAGGTTCCAATAAGCCATTAAAGCACCAGAGGTGATAAGTTGTTTTGTATTATTTGAAGTCTCACTAGATGCAAAGTTTTACTTGAATTTTTACATTTTTTTTGTTTTTCTTGTGACCACAGTGAGTATCAATCGCTTTAATACATAGAGATAATTTTTAAGGATAAGCAGTTAGTTATAAATAATTAAATTAGGTAATTAGATAACCTTAGTCATTATGGATTTACATGGCCACTATTAAATCTTATTTTTTAACAATATTTGTTAAAGCCCACTCCAAATCTAATAAAATTTCAGTTTAAAATACATATAATTTATGACACTGATTCTTAAAAGATATTATGATAATTACACCTTAAAAGCTACAAACATTTTGGCTAGTTTATATCGATTTAAGCAACTTTTCTAACAATTAGAGATTTGTCTCAATATGAAAACCAATGCTCTCGCTAGTTTCTGCGTGCTTTATCTCCTAACTTGACAAACTCTCCACAATGTACACCTACGAGGGTTTACTTGATCTGTTAAAAGTTAAATAGTCCCAAACCCCCGACAGACGTGAAGCAAACTATCGCTGTGTACCCTACCCAATTGTGTAACAGCAAAAAGTCAAAAATATTTTGGAAAAAAAAAAAAAGGAGGGAAAAATGTAAAATTAATTTTATAGAGAAAACTGATCCATATTCTGAGACAATTACATGGGGAAAAAAACTTACTATGAAAAAATTAAAAAGACATTTTTAATTAATTACATAGCTAATTTTGCTTTTGTTAAGAGCTTCTCTATAGCATTATACCTTATTTTTCATATTCAAAATATTTTATAATAAGTTGCCAAAATGAACCTTTATAATAGGACAGCGAAAAAATAAAATGTTTTATTTTAATGTAATTTCAATATATTACCATTATTTTAATAAAATTTATCATTGTTACGATGTCTTAAAAAAATATCATCGAAATATTCTCAGATTTCACAATTAAAAATTTTTTAAAGAAACTGATCTTAAAATCGCCAAAATGTTTAGAAGTTGCCAAATTTAGAACAATAAAATTCGAAAAATAAAAGAATTCACATCCCCCAAAGCGAAAAGTTGTTTAAGAGCTCTTTATTAGAAAAAATAACTTTCGAAATGCTCCTGTTTCACTTCTTGCTTAGAAACTTAAGTATCCCATCATTTATATTAGAAATAGGAACAATTTATAACCCATGAATCCATTCAAAAGATAACCATATATGTCAGTGAATCATCAAAAATATTCCTCCAAAATGCTAATTCACACTCAAAATGGCAGTCGTAAAAGCAGACAAAAATGTCACATGATTAAAATTAAGGACCTTCTGCTGAGTTTGACGAAAATTAGGACTTTTAAGGACCAAAAATTTATTCCAAAAAATTTAAGGAATTTTAAGGACCCGACGAACCTGTATTTAAATAGGCAGGACTAGGTTTGGAAGCCGAAACAGATTAAACTGATTTATACACAGGGAGAAGAGTGCAAAAAAATTAACAGAAGATTTTCTTTTTTGGAAAAGGTAAGCGTTACATTAACTATGTTTTTTGCTTTTTTTAATTTATTGATTAAAAAAGGATTCCTTACTGTGCCACCATTCTGAAAATGAGTACTGCCTCTTATGCATTTCCTTGGCAAATGAATGCTCTCCAAAGTCAGCAATAAATTTGCAACTTTTCAGCAGGGGTGTGGATAATCAAAAAGTACTCTTAACGCTCAGCCATAACAATTTGCAAATTATCATTAAATTACAAATAGTTTTACTGAAAAATGCAATGAGCTATATTAAAAATTAAACAATTACAAGGATTTTTCTTATTTAAATTTTTTATACAGGCTATTTAGATTCTTACAGAAGTTTCATTAAAATTATTTAATTTTAGACTAACTTTTAACTAATTTACCCAGTCTCACAAAATTGCACTGAAATGTCATAAATTATATTCTGAGCATTTAAGCATCTAAAAGTAATAATTTGTATTTAAGCACACAAGATTAAAGATTTATATTAAATATAATTTTAATACAAATTTGATACGGAAAATTCCAATTTTTTAAAATCAGAATTAAATATTAATGTTATACAAGTTCCGGCTATTAATTTTCAGGACTCATGGAATAACTCAGAAGAAAAAAAGGTTAAACACAGAGCCATTTAATATGATTAAAAGTAATCCCCCATCAGCCGTAATGCACATCTGTGCTCGGCTGTACAAATTTCAGAGAGAAGTTTTAAAGTCCTCGTTTGGAATGCTCTTTAATAGTGATGTTATAGTTTTCTTGGTGGCTTCGACATCCTGAAATCTTGTTCCCTTCAATGAATTTTTCAGCTCAGAAAACAGGAAAAAGTCTGTGGGTGTTAGGTCTGGAGAGTATGGTGGATGCTGCATTTCAACGACACCATGCTGGGCTAAGAATCGCCTCACAGGTAACGCAATGTATGGGCGGGCATTGTCATGTAGCAGCAGCCAACTCCCATTTTTGTTGAAAATGAGGCCTCACGAATTCGTTTTTGGAGTCAGTGAAGAACTTTGTGTAGAACTGTCCATTGATAGTCATGCTAGGAGGAAGAAATTCACAATGAATGAGTCCATCGCAATCGAAGAAAGCGATTAACATAACCTTGATTTTGGACTTTTCAAATCGATATTTTTTCTGCCTTGTGAACTTGGAGACCGTCATTCAGAGCTTTGACGCTTGGTTTTTCGGGTTCATATTGATAACAAAAGACTCGTCTCCGTGATTATCCTATCCAGGAACGCAGGGTCAGCATCAATGGTTTGATAAGTTCCACATGCGTCCAGTCTTAATTGCTTTTGTCGAGCCTAAATGAATCTGGAACAAATTTCCGTTGCCTATGCTTGCATCAAAATTCGCCAAAACCGTCTCTTTTCCATGCTGAATTGGCGAGTACTCGAATAGTCAATCGACGATGTTTTTACCATCACAAACTTTTTAATGCTTCCTACCACAAGTACCACAATTTAATTAAATATAATTTTAATACAAATTTGATACGGAAAAATTCCAATTTTTTAAAATCAGAATTAAATAATGTTATACAAGGTCCGGCTATTAATTTTCAGGACTCATGGAATAACTCAGAAGAAAAAAAGGTTAAACACAGAGCCATTTAATATGATTAAAAGTAATCCCCATCAGCGTAATGCACATCTGTGCTCGGCTGTACAAATTCAGAGAGAAGTTTTTAAAGTCCTCGTTGGAATGCTCTTTAATAGTGATGTTATAGTTTTCTTGGTGGCTTCGACATCCTGAAATCTTGTTCCCTTCAATGAATTTTTCAGCTCAGAAAACAGGAAAAAGTCTGTGGGTGTTAGGTCTGGAGAGGAGAGTATGGTGGATGCTGCATTTCAACGACACCATGCTGGGCTAAGAATCGCCTCACAGGTAACGCAATGTATGGGCGGGCATTGTCATGTAGCAGCAGCCAACTCCCATTTTTGTTGAAAATGAGGCCTCACGAATTCGTTTTTGGAGTCAGTGAAGAACTTTGTGTAGAACTGTCCATTGATAGTCATGCTAGGAGGAAGAAATTCACAATGAATGAGTCCATCGCAATCGAAGAAAGCGATTAACATAACCTTGATTTTGGACTTTTCAAATCGATATTTTTTCTGCCTTGGTGAACTTGGAGACCGTCATTCAGAGCTTTGACGCTTGGTTTCGGGGTCATATTGATAACAAAAAGACTCGTCTCCCGTGATTATCCTATCCAGGAACGCAGGGTCAGCATCAATGTGTTTGATAAGTTCACCACATGCGTCCAGTCTTAATTGCTTTTGTTCGACGCCTAAATGAATCTGGAACAAATATTCCGTTTGCCTATGTCTTGCATCAAAATTCGCCAAACCGTCTCTTTGTCCATGCTGAATTCATTGGCGAGTACTCGAATAGTCAATCGACGATCACGTTTTTACCATACCACAAACTTTTTCAATTGCTTCCATCGTGCATACGATCATCAATGGATCATCTTCGACGCTTTCGCACCCGTCCCGAAAGCGTTCAAACCATTCAAAAGTTCTTGAGCAGGCTAATGCTTCCTCGCCGTAAACTTGTTTTAACATTTCGTAGGTTTCTGCCGCTGTCTTGCCCAATTTGAAGCAAAATTTAAAGTTAATTCTCTGCTCCATTTTCACTTTAACAATAGTAATTTAAGAGCTATGTTTTAATGCACCTTTCCACGGGAACCACTTACTTCAGAATGGCGTGAATTGCACTGCACATGCACAAGAAAACACTCTTCAATATGCAATCATTAGCGCCATCTTCTGACTTTTCATTCTCCTACAGTTAAATTATATTAAAATAATAATTATTAATTAATAGCCAGACCTTGTATACATATTTGCAAAATACAAGTGGAAAAATTAATAGATGCTACATTTCATTATTACACTACATAGATATATTAAAAGGGGCTCATGACATCGAGATGAAACTCATGCTTTTGTCCAGATCATTGAAATACTGCTATTTATTAATTTCCAGTTGCTTTTCTTATTTCAACATGGCAATTTTTTAAAATATTGCTGCGCCCCCCGAAAAAAATTTATGGTTCATTCATAAGAAGGAAGAGCATTAATACTTATTATAATAACTTGACATTTAATATTTACTTCCTGCATTAAAACAAGATGTTTTAGCAATAATTAACATGAATAAGAAGAGGTACCTATTTGGGCCGGCAGTAGTAGGCGGATTGAATACCCAAGTACTTGAAGTTAAACTACCAGTAGCATCACTATTTGAATTGGCAGGACTAGGTTTGGAAGGCCAAAATAGGTTAGATTCTTTTATATTATTGACTGACAAAGGAGATCTGGCAATACTTCCAGGAGTAATATGTGGATCATCTTCGATGTTCTTGAGCTGGGTCCCTTTCCAGGGTTTTCCAGGTTCAAACTCTGGAACTAAGTCTGTTAAACTATATGATGGGTGAGAAGATGCTGATGTTGGACCAGAAGTAGAGTGGGTAGATTCTTTGTTGTCAGCAGACTGACCATTTCCTATACTAGGAGTAGAGACATTGTTAGAGCCATTGGTGCTCTCTGTGGAAGACGTGGCTGTTTCAGGCCAACCTGAATCTCCATGTGAGCGCCCAGAAAGACCAGACCAAGTGCTCTCATTCTGGTCCAGAAGGGGATGCAAGGTAGAACCAGAGCTAGGTATAGAAGGTGTTTTAGAATTCAAGGGTCCAGGAGCTCTGCTAAAATCCCCAACACCACCCAGATTGCCTTGAGTCATGTCTCCTGGGGGACACATCTGGTTTTCATCCTTTTCAAGGGAGGAGAGTTTCCACTGGTTGAGCCTGGATTGATGGTTTTGATGTGGGGTATCCTTGAGGGTGAGGTTTTGAAACTCATTGTGCATTGCTTCAACATTCGGCTTGAAAAGGTCAATAGTAGGCTGGGATCCATGATGCTGTTGCTGCTGGACAGGTGGTTGCTGCTGAGGAATCTACAGAATGGATAAAATACATAACACATCTTATATTTCATCTAAAATATAGAAAACTTTTTAATCAAAATAAACCAAACAATTGCTTATTAAAATAATTCAATCAAATTTCCATATTCCATAAAAAAATTCATGCTTTTGCAACAAAGGAAGGAAATTAGGGATGCAAAAAGATATACCTTTAAAAAGCTGAAGAACTTTTTATACATGTTATTTAGATTCTTTTCAAAAGGAAATATGCAGATTTTAAAAATTCAGATAATTGAAATTTGAATAATATAAGGATTTGAAATAATTAAAATAATTGAAAATAAAATAATTTAATTAAAATATTTGAAAGGGATAATTGAAAGGGAAAAAAATCACAAGAAAGAGGTAACTCACCCCCCATCACATATCTAAACTTTTGAACAGAATAACAAAATTAAAGAAAATTTTAACAAATTACAATATATTTCATACACTGTAATAATTTACCTGTTGCTTAAGAAAAAGCGCCTGATTGGCACATATTTGATTTTGTAGATTGTTAATTCTTTGTTTAGTTTGAGCAATTTGAACATTTAACTGAAGATTGGTATTCGGAACTCCTTGCTTTGACATATGGCTGCTTTGTAAAATCTGCTGTTGCTGTAGCTGACCCAGTACTTTGATTTGTTGTAACAACTGGTATAAGAACTGAAGAGTCTGCGGGGCTAAAGGCTGGTTTAAAATCTAGAAAAAGAAAAACAAAAAATACCTCAGATAAATTTTATAATTCTTGAAGAATCTTAGTAAAAGTAATATCCAAATTAATACACATAAGAACTGGGGAAAATAATTAAAAACATTAAATATTATTAAGTAAATTATTTAAACATAAAATCCAAGTTATTTCAACGGCAAAAAATGCACATGTGCCTTTCAGACTGTTTTCAAATAAAATTTTTTAACAAGATGGTTTACAATACCCCATAAATCAAGTTCCTTTCCAAAGAATGAACCTTATAGCAGAACTAATACTCAATATTTTCATAATAAGATCAATAACAATCATACCAGTTTTTCTAAAAAAAGGGGAAACTGTCTATATGTATATATATCAAGTAAAATAAGGTGAAAATTTTTCTTCCATTTTAGGTAAGCTAGAATTTTCAAATATTGGTACAAGTCTTAAGGTTTTCAATATTTTGTTAATATGCTTAATACAATTATACTTTTACTTAAATATTTGCATTAAATATTATACAATGAACTACTTAACATAATTTTACAGGCATTTAAACAAAGTAAAGTTGTAGTCATTTAATTTTCTGTATCTGTTGTCACAATAACAATGTTTTGCACTTGCTCATTAGCACATGTTTTCTACATGTTACAAAAAGCAATGCCCCAAGATTAAATAAAATCTTAAATATGCCACAAAATTTGATTTTTTTGTACACAAAAGATGACTCTCAACAACAAGGCCTTGCTTACAGTGAAAGCTGATTACTGCTGCCATTAAGTGTTGATTGAGAAACGTGCACCTACCCACAAAAAAATTAAAAACTAGCCCAACAAGAACTTCAGAAGATCTGGAATCGATGTTAAGAAAACTGATTATAACTTAAAATGTGTTAGAATTGCCCACATACTGGAATCTTAATGGAGTGACAAAGGTTTGATCTGGTTAAAACTGTTTTGCGTTAACACTTTTATTCATACATTACTGATGTTTCAAAGAACAACATGCGCTAATAGTAAAGTGCTTTCCACTAAATTTTATTTTGTCAACTGATAGTCTTATCTGTCATCTAACAATAATCTTAGCAACAAAACCCAGAATAAATAATCCCACTGGTATAGAATCTGGTCCGCAATTTGATTTCTCAACATGAAAGGTCTTCACGCTTCCAAAATTAGCTGTAAACTGTGTCAAATTAATGGCACCACAATAATGAGGTGAGAAAGAAGAGGCAGAAGCTTATGCAGCTAACTTAGTAAGACTGTACAAATGCTTAGAATTAAAAGAGAAAAGGGAGACTTAAGTGTTCAAAATAGGTGAAGATTAAAATTTAAGAAAATTACTATCTCATGATCAGTGTTTTTAATCAAAGAATTTTCAGATATTTCAAGGAAAACCATCGCTAAATCTCAAACTACTAAGTGCACAAGATGAGTCAAATTGACCGACATATAAAAAATAAATGATGACATCTAGCACAAGCACTTTTTACGAGAATTATGTGAGAAAGAACGTGAATTTTTGCTTTTCATCACCATGAAAATAGCATCATTCAAATTCAGTAAAACTATACAAATTCAAACAAACTCAGTATGAAAGTAGTGAAGATTATGATTAGCGATTTATGGGATAAAAAGCATGGACTATTCATATTGATTTCCATACTTTCTTCTACTTAGAGAACTGGTTTAATATGGTTGAAGTGATACACTGATAATAGCAATGCTGAACTGGTAAAACTTATCTTGCTTTTTTCCCCCTCTCATTTTTTCACAAAGAAATAAACTATTCTTTGTTATAATAAGTGCTGAAATGCTGAAAAATAAACTGGCCCATACCAAAAAAAAAATTTTTTTTAATGACTATAAATGGACTTTTACTTTTCAAACATTACTCTTGATCAGGTTAACAGATTACAAACACACTTTAACACATTTATAAGAGACTAACTAGCTTCTGAAGAAAAGGAAATATTACATCATCTCTCTCATCAAGTGATATTCTCTCATCTCTCTTCAAGTGTGCAGATAACTGCAATACCATACAAAATATTTTTAGTAGAACTGCTTGACTATATTGCCAGAGCAGCTCTCACTTCGATATTGGGCTTATCAGCCCGTTTAAAAATTATTATGAAATTATTTCTAATTTTATAACTTAATGATTATAAAATTATTTCAAGCATACTGCTAAAGCATTCCAGTCTGAATGTTCAGTTATTAGGATGAAAGAGGTAAGAAAAGGGACACTGTACGTGCCATCCTTTTAATTAAAATCTAGGTGTTTTTTTTTTTCAGGGGTTCCTGATAATTTTCTAACTCAGCAATACCTACTGTTACTGTGTTATGACAAACACGGGCTGCCTAAATGTCATTTATTATAAAGATACAGTTAAATCTCTGCTGCAAAAAACTGTTGTTAATGACCTTAATAGGGATATACAACAGTTGTGAACTTCTGGCTGTAAGTTTAAGACTACTATATATGAAGATTCGTAAACTTATTGCTTATTAATGAAGAAAAAACAAAAACACTATAAAAATAAGATATTTCTAGTAAACCAAAACTGCCTACCCCAATCTTTCAAAATCAGCATTTGATTTCTATAGCATTTTTACTACACCTTCTAATTACCTATCTGCTATTCATAACTTGCACTTATTGCATACGTTAACAAAATATTTTTACAGGTGTGCCAAATGAAACATTTCATCTGCCTATAGCTACGGATATTCAACAATAACATTTTATTATAATAATCTAACCAGCTATGTTTTGAATCTTTACTGTAACTTCTCCATTCCAGTTTTCACCAGAATGCAAATTAGCTCATATGCATTTAAAGCTGAGGTTTTTAGATGGTAAGACAGAGCATGTTCTACCTGTCGAGGCCATGTTACTAAATTGCTAGCTCAGATACAACTTGAAGTCTTCGACCTTGCATTATAATTGCCGATATTTGAATATCTATGCCTGTTAGGTTGGTGAGCCAACTTTGCATTAAACTGAGTTGTGTATTCTTTGACTACTCGGATATATTAAATTTGAACTATTATTTTATCACACTACAAGTAATGGCTGAATTGTACACATGAGAAGTGAATTTTAAGTTCAAATTAATAAAAAGGTTTGATTTAAAACCCTCAAGACTGTCATTAACAACTTTTTTAACTCGATCATTCATCTGGAACTTCACAATACTTAAAAAAGATAATTAATTTTGGCATGATACAGTAAAAGGACTGAATTAAGTATCAAAATAAGCATCTCAATATCACACTCCCCCCACCACCACCTATTGTGTCGCCATCCTCCAGCAGCAAAACAATTTTTTGTACTTCATTTGAGATTTCTTCAAGCCATTCTTTATTCACGTGCTAACTAAATATAATTATGCTCAAATCTCACCAGCAGCAAATTCTACCACACATGAGAGACAAGATGTCCATTGACATATTTCAGAGTAACACCACATAAATATGACCAAAACTCTATTTCCAATGCAAAATTACACTTCCAATAAAAAAATTCTGAAATTATTTAAATTCCAACTTCAAAGGTGACAATGCCTGCCTTCATTCATGAATTCCAATCACTTTTATAACAGTTCCAGACACTAAACATATATAAATGCATTTTAACAGCCCTGAATGATTATATTTTCACAGTTATGAAGAATGCAATTCAATAGTGCTTTTAATAAAATTTTAAAACAAATTTCAATTTCTCAACACAACTGTAAATGGATTTCAGTATTTTAACCTCCATTTCTGATGTAATTTAATCGCATGCATAAATCTACTAGATTTTAAAATAAATAAATGAAATAATCAGAAGTGACAATTTACATCATTAAATTATTTCCAATTTACACGTAAAATAAATAATAAAAATCTATCAAAATTTTTTTTAAACTTTATTTAAAAACTGTACATCATCCAAAGAAAAAGATTCATTTCGACACGAAAACTTTCATTAAAAAAATTACTTAAATGACTCAACATACAATTAAAAGAATCATACATCATAACTCAATAAGAACAATCAATAAAAAAGGAAGTTATTTGACAGGAATTAGTACACAAATCACAAGGGTTAGCAAAATTAGTAGGAAACGGAAAAGGAAAATTAAGATCAACATTTAACAGATGTAAAGAAAAGAACGTACATCAATTACCTGTGCATTCAAATGGCCAGCCTGTACAGCCATTTGTATCTGTTGCACGAGATGACGAAGCTGGGCATTTGTGGGAAATTTAGGATTGCCAAACGCCTGAACATTATTCTAAAGCGAGACAGGGAGAAGGGGAAAAAAAATTATTTTTTAGTTTAAAATACTTCATGAAAATCAGACAAATTTTTAATGTTCAGGCTAAATATTAGTCTGAAGATATTAATACAACTATTATTTAATTTTTTTATAATATAAAAGAAAAATATTACCTTACTTTTTTAATCTACTTATCTAGTTAACCGATATTCAATTTATTACGTTCTCTCATTTAAATTTACAAATATTAAATCAATTTTAGTAGCCTATACAAAATATATTTGAATAATGAGATGGTGAATAAGTTACTTTAAATGTCATGTTCTCATTATTTGGCACAATTACGATTATTTACTATTTTACTGTCAATTTCAGATCTGTTGTACCTAACTACAGAAAAGTAAAATGACTGATCAATACTTTAACATATGCTGCAGCCAACAGAAACAATATATTATTCCATAGAATTCTGGAGAGATACATATAAATGCAAACACCTCGGATCAATTTGGAGATTTTCTACAGATGATGCAAAGGTTAAAGTTACTTATTAAGTGTAAGTTGTCATAGCCTTTTTTTTTTTTAATTCCCAAATAGCATTAACCAGAGGAACTATTAATTTCATTTTGGCATTTTGCGTCGAAAACTTTAAAATTCCAAATAACTTTTGTGAATTGTTGCCACCAAATATTATCCCTGTGTTATATTTAGATTAAATAATAAATAAGAGATTAAATAATAAAGAATCTGCATAAATGTAAGTATGTTTCTTGCATTGTGATAACATACTCAAACCATGAAATTCAGTTCAACAGCAATATCGCAAAATAATTTTAAAATGAACATACGTTTAGAATTTCTGATAGTCTCGTGCGCTGGAGATAAAAATGTTTTTTTTTTTTTTTTGGTAGTGTTGCCATTCCTTGCTTTGAAATCCTTGAGTTTGTTAATCAAAAATTCGTTGAAGTGTTACAAAATATGAAATCGATCATAAAACAAATTCAAATTAATGCTTCCACATGCCCATATTCTATGGAATATTATGTTATTCAAATATTGATGGCTCTAGGTACCATTGTTTTATCACAATGCGAGAAACATACATTCATGCAGAATTTATTATTTCATTTCTTTAAATATAATACAGGGCAATACTATTTGGTGGCAATCATTTGAAAAGTGAACCGACATTTAACGTTTTCAACGCAAAATGTCAAAACAAAATTAATAGGCCTTAAAGGGCAAACTGCCCCTTTGTACTAAAAACGCACACAAAACTGAGATACACAAAATTTCTAAGGAGGAAATGGAAGGCCATTACACAAAACCGAGATACACAAAATTTCCAAGGAGGAAATGGAAGGAATTTTTCACATTAGTGTTTGTTCTTTATCATGATGATTTAAACTTTTGGATACTTTATAATTTTATCAATAAATAGTATCTTTATCAAAGTGGCTGGTGCTTCGCACAACTGCACTACAGGTTGGTCGTTCGATCTGCCTTTCATCCCTTGAGTAGGTTGATAAAATCAGTACCAAGTTCGCTTGAGGACTAAATACCGGTGGTCCTGCAGCAAGCTAACCACTTGCCAGCGCATACACTGATGCACCCCAGGGCCTAAGGGCATGAGAGCTAATTTTTGGGAGCACTGATGGCTGTGGACCACTAGGGCTGTTGCACCACTTAGAAGTTTAGTATTTTCATTAAGTGTAGCATCAAATTTTATTCCACATAGTTATGTAGTTTAACTAAGACTTAAAAACTGAAGTATTAAGTTAACCCACAAAGGTAAATAAATGCTTTCCTTGCGCAATATTTTTATCAAAAAGTACAAATATATTCCTGTATAGCTAGTTTTTTTAAGATGGAAACATTTTTTTAAGTATACATCATATTTTTTAAATTTTCACAAGTTAATAAGCCTTGCATAATGGATATTATTTTAGAATAAAAAAAATTGGATCAAGTATGTTGACTTACTAAATTGAGTAATTGAAGACTCTGTTGTTGTTGTTGCTGTTGCTGCTGCTGTTGGAGAATCTTTTGAAGTAATGCAGGAGATAAATTCCCAGCTGTCTGTTGCCCGCCCAATGCAGAATTTAAGACTGAATTACTGTTTGGTCCCTGGATGGAAAAATTTTATTAGACACATTCCTAAACAAGGTAAAAACCACATGCATAGCTACTCACTTTGAAATATGAAAAACTGGGAGCTTCTGCAAAGTTTTCAAGCTACACTTTAAAAGAAATTCTTAAACTGACTTAAATTTTTATATGTACGAATCAGGTTATTAAATTACTGATTCTGATTTAAAATACATTAATATTTAATTAGATAATATAAATTGTATGGTCTTTGAGAAATTTCATGTAGCAATTTTCTTAGCCTTTTATATATAGAAAATCTTGAGTTAGGAAGAAAAGCTTTAATTTACCAAAGAACTTTCAAATACGATTGGGGGAAAGGACATACAATGATATAGATAAACTTAGTTATGTATGATGTATTTGGTGTTAAAGAAAATTAAATACAAATATTTACTGATTAAACATTGACTGAATCTTGATATAATGTTCTACATATGTCTACAATAGATTAAGCAATTCAGATCAAATAAAATTATGCTGATAATCACTAGGGGTTGAAGAATGAAATTAGCACAATTTAAATTTCAATTATTTCTGAAAAGGCTAAAACACAAAAGCAGAAGATTCAGGAGATGTGACAACACACACACACACACACAAAACAAAAAAAAAAAAACCACTAGGAGTCTTGAAACAAAATTGGCAGCTATGGAACTAATATTTTCATCAGGGAATGAACTATATGAACTAAGGTACGGGAAAGAGCTTTCGCCATATACAACAAATGAAATGAGCAACTGAAAGCATATTGCCAAATACTAAATGTTTCTGAATCTGTTTTTGTTAATCATTACAAAGGCATTTTTTCAACTCTGGTCCAAAATATAAAGAAAATTCTCCATTTAATATGTACATATTACAGTTGCAAAGTTACACATACAAAATCTGAATTTTCAGCTAAGCTTATTTTTCAATCATACTTCACACATAATAAATAAAACTTTTTTTAAGATTCACCTACTGTAATATTTGCATAAACAGAATATGAATATTTTCAATATACAAATGTAATAATTTATTATACTTCTAAAATAATACACATGAAAATAGAAAATACAAAACAAAACTTACTGAGGTAAAATTTGCACAGATTAGTAACTTACTTTTGGTGTTTGTTGTTTAAATGAATGTCCAACACCAGGAAAATTAATAGGACTTTGGAAATTGTTAGGACCATGAAAATTAGTTGGGAAAGCATCAAGGCAAGGATCAGCCATTGATACATCATCAAATCCATTAGCTGGTCTCACCTTGCGACCTGTGAAGCTATCAACATCCATTGCTCCATTACTCATGGCTTGCAATTCAGCTGAAATTAAAAGCCAAAAAAAACTTTTATTACAAATGTTCTACAACAAAATCTTCTGGATATTAACACTTTATCAAATTGCATTTAATTGTAAATCAATACTTTTGTTACATTACATAACATACAAAATCTAATTTTTAAAAAACAAATTATTTTTAAGAGTTCATGTTTATTTCTCACTTGCACTCCTTAATTATAGCTATTTCAGTACTTACAAGACACTTATGAGAGCCAGTTTGTCCAATTTTATGTTACTTCAGAAATGCTTCAATTTTAATCATGAAAATAGAAGACACAATGAAACTTTGCATTGATTCTAGAGTACTAAAAAATATTACAATTCTTTTCAAAGCTCTAGATAAATTTCAAGGCATTCAGCAATCTTTTACATCTCACAAGTATTCCCTCTAAAGAAAAATCTCTGGTAACCAGTATGCAAGCTATTGGCAATACCAAAATAACAGCACTTTTGAATGTGTAAATCCATAATTCAGGCTTACAAAATTCAAAAATATATAACAACCTAACAATTAGAATACTGGAAAAAAATTTTTGTTCTGTCTCTGCCATCCTACATAGCAATGGACCAAGAATTATCTAGACTCTTAAGATGAACTACCGTTCCCTTTTTATGTGTTAATGTGTGAACTTTGAAAGCTGTGTCTATGAATTTCAACAATTTATGTTGGAAGACAGCAGATCTACTCTGTCTCTTGCTTGCAAAGATGCAAAAGAATACTAGTCTATGTCACTGCTTAGTGTAAATTATGCTGTATGATTATATTCGTAGATAATGAGTTAAGTGATGAAGATTCTCTTTGCAGTAATATAAAATAAATTTGGTGCCTGTTGCTGACACTTTGAATTTAGTTACATCTTTGGAGAAGATTAGTATTAGTGAAGAGTAGTTGCAGATTGGGTGGATGTAGAAAATTCTCTTTCCATTACTCCTCTCTCAAAATGATGCCAAAATAATAGTTAAGTGAAGGATTGTACACTTTCATAAGATTAGCTGAGAAATATTGGTATATGTCAATGAATGTTATGAAACTGAATTATACACATGTTTAAAACTACAGCAAGAATCTCTTAACAGGCAGATATGCGAAATTAAATGCCATCACACTAAAAAAGAAATCCATTACTTTCATGTGATAATAAATATATGACCATATTAAAATGCAGTTTGTTTTTCGAAAATATGAATAATTTTTGTTTGTTGTGTATTTTTGTTAATTGTTTATTGTGGCTAATTGGGAGGGGAGCATGACCAACAGATTTCACATGCTTAAGTTTCTACAAACGGTATTCCAATATATGAACAAGTCAATTCCAGAAATACATATTCAATTATGTTGAATTGGCAAAGTCCTGTTTGTTGCCAGTTAAGAGAGATTCTATTGTATCATATTTCAAACCACCACAAAAACTATATACAGTGACTTTTCAGATGCATACATACTGAAACATTTAAAAGTACTCAGTCTTAATTCAGCTTACAATATGTCATTAGTTATTGGAAACAAATCTCAGCAAAGATACAAATTTATTACTAATAGCATTTCAGTTTACATAAAAACAAACAAAAGCATTTGAAACTTTATTCATTCCATTCAACTAGCATTAACAGAAGTTATCAGAAACATTCTTATGCATGTGTGGAAGATGCAAAATGATTCTGTGATACTTAGAAGCAAAGAATACCATGTCACCAAATGCAATTCAACTTATTTAAATTTATTATTTTATTAAAATGAGAATAAATTTCACCTCCCATTTCACTGTTTATAATCATATAATTGAGTATTCATACGTAAATCGTACTTTAGATTAACCACGGTTATATGAATGAGGCTTCTTTAAATTTTTTTTTAATATTTTCTATTTCAAATGTCTTATTAAATTCTAAACTTTTTGTCCACTTTCAGTAAGTACATATATGGCAATGACAGGCTAATAAACAAAACCTAATTATTAATTATTTCAAGAAATTTCAGTGATGAATTTTTCATGATCAGCACAGAATTAATACCACTCCTTTAGACATACCTGCTGCCTCTTCTAAATTCATATTATTATTTCTCAAGGCATTTTCCACATCTTCTTTCTGAAAACAGAAAATTCTTTTAAATTACAATCATTACTTAAATAAACATATGAAGAGTTTTTAGTGCAATAAATCTTAAAATTTTTAACAGTTGTCGACTAAGGGAATGTGTTACAATAAGCAATTACTGACTATGTAACATCTTGCCTTTTCTAAAATTACTTTTCCTAAATTTCTTCATTAAATAAATCAGCGCTTTAAAAACTTACATTCCCCCCCCCTTTTTTTGGTGTGTGTGTGTGTGTGTGTGTGTGTGTGTGTGTGTGAATGCATACTAGTAACTTAATGCATTTTTAATCTCTGAAAAATAAAAACAATTTCTTTTTTCTGCAGTTTTATAGAATTCACACTAGCAGGAATTTAAAGCATGTTAGTCAAACTAATCATCAAGCATACCTATATTACAATATTAAAATGTAAAAATGTTGATAACAGAAAGAGAAAAACCTACATGATTAAAAGATATTGTTCATATCCTGGCAAAGATTAACACATATCAACAAAAATCATCACACATAAAATTCCAACTTAATTTCCATGAAATTTCAGTGTGATACCAAATCCTTTTTATTAGTAAGAAGCATTTTTACACTATTATGCTAGTACACTATTATTTCCCAAAATAGTAAGTCTAAACATTGAAATCTGATGTCATATATTGCTTTTTAAAATTTAAACTAATATTTTTTATTATGAATCCAAGGGAAAATATCCGAACTGTCAGCTCTCTTTTATTGGGTTTTATTAGACAATCAAGCCTATATCCAATAAATGCATATCGACACTATTTTACTAACATAATGACCAGCTTTATTCGTGAATGCCATATTTACATAAAGTTTTACAACACTTAACTTTTTTTTCAATATTAAAATAAGATCAATAAACAGAAAACAATTGCTTCTATATTACAATTAACGACTACTTTGTAAATAATAATAATCCACATTATGAGAAAAGTCCCTAAGCCTTAACTGTGAGCTAAATAAAAGAACCTTTTAATAAAAGATGAGAAAATGAAAGCACTTCAGGTAAACACACTGACATTTTTGAAAATGCAAGAAGGCAGAAGAAACTTTAAGATAAATCAAACACTTCATAATAGTTCCCCAAACCTTTTCAGCTCATCTCAAAGCTTCACCCAACACTCATACCCGTGCAATAATGACTTGTATCAGAGGAGGCTAAACTTTTAATATGCATGCAAGGAATCAGAAATATTTTGAGAGCCGCACAAAATTTTCGAGAGGCACAATCCCTTACTTACATCATTTTTAAAAGTACATAAAACAGGTTTTCATAAAAAGAAATGTTAGGTTTCTGTACTAAATTTCTCCTTTTGTTCGCCCTTGCAAGGTTGCAAATGAGATTCAAGAACAGTTAAGGCAAAGGTTTTAGAACGTTTTAAGAGTTCTAGGTAATGAAGCTCACAGCTTTCCATTCCCAGCTCTGCCAATTAATATTCCAGCATTAGCCATTTGCTACCCAAAGTTAAAACATGTCATTAAGTTCGAGCCAGCTGATTAGACAAAATTTATGTAGTTTCTGGCTATCATCTTTTTTTTTAAATTGAAAATTTATGTTAGTTTTAAAACCTGCAAGTGGCAGAATTTTAACTAACTTTAAGCTGTGCCTTCTGTTTAGTTCTTCCAAAAGCTGTGCTTTCTGTTCAAATTTAAGATCAATACAAAGTTTATTTAAAACCTTTTATATATTTTCAGACGAAGCAAACACTTGCTTGGCAGTCTAACAGGGTTCACTAATTTGGAATCTACCTAAAAATTTTGTATTTTTTGTGCTACCAATATGGCTGCATTAAAATGCAAAAAAACATTTATTTCCCCTTACTATATGTTTGGAAAAACTGTTTTCTGTTTTCATGATACACAAATTTGAAACAACTGTACGATGTAACTAAACATTTCCTTTTATCAGAGAAAGTAGAGTATTTTCTTTTGATTTTCTTTCTCCCCCAAGTTATAGCTCATGAATGGTTTTTGCAGATGTATACTGAAATCAAAAAGAATTTTAATGGCCTTTACAAGAACTGTGACGAAAATTTCCTGTGAGTGAAGAATCAAGCACTAACTGGAAAACCAGATCCAGAGATTTTTCTTTTAACTTATACTAACTCCTCTGGAAAGAATGACAAGAAATATTGCCACTACAAACAAATTCCCATCCGAGAAAATGTGCTTGAATTCAACAAATCACATAAAGACCATCTGCCTAACAGAAGAGAGGTTCTCTGAAAGACAATCTATGGAAACTGGCTCTTATATACTCTTTTTGAGAAAGGAACATTGTTTTAAAATAAGCTGTTCCTTTTTCAGGATTCTACACAAAAATAATAATTTAGTTTTTTACACAAAATTAGCATGAGGACAAAATACCGAAATCAAAACGTAATCATACATTTACACTTCATTAAGGATGATATATTCGAACCCTCAACATCCACGAATCTTCAAAAAGATCTGAATTTCCAAAAATGTCTTCTTTTCCCTCCTTCTTGTAAAATAACATTTTACAGAGCATCATGGGATGTTTATAGTAAATCATAATTAAGCTATTTAATTTTATGAAGAGAACATCAGATATTAAAGACAATGGATGGCAAGGAAGACCAAAATATAAACAGAAGAAAGAAATGTGATACTTGAAAAGAGGCTACTGAAAAAGATCAATGTGATACTTGAAAAGAGGCTATTGAAAAATATCAATGTGATACTTGAAAAGAGGCTACTGAAAAAGATCATTCAAAAATATGTGAAGAAATATCTCAAGCTACAATGGTGTCATGAGTACATGGTATTTGGAGAAAGTATATGGTATTTTAATAAAATACTCAATAAAATACATATAAATATAGAAAACTTGTGCCCGACGGATTCCTTACCACTTGATACAATTTACTGAAATGAAGATTTGATAACAAAGGTGAAAAGATCTGTCTTGAACAATCTGACGTTCAGCAATTTTCAGCCACAGCTTAATTTAATTAAGTGGCCAATCAACAGAAGAATTCCATCATCTTCATGACGACGACAATTTATGTATACACAATCATAGATAAAGTAAATGATAATCTCTGCTTAAGATTACCAAGGTGTTCCAAGGTTAGCTGAAAAAATTTACACTGCAGCATATTATTGGAGGTAGTTAAAAAAAGTTTGGAAAAAAGTGAACAAAAAACTGCCTGAAACTTAGAGACGGACATATATGGTTGTAACCAAATATGAATGCGAATTTCACCTAACAAGTATACACATGAATCCATCAGAGCTGAAAATATGTCTTTAATTTGAAACAGCTCCTATGATAACTGCATATTTTGTTCTCTGAAAAAGATTTCTTCAGTAACTACTCGAGATATTCAAACAGCATAAAGCACCACTATTTTAAATGACAGCAAATTTTCCAAAATCTAAATTATGGTAGAAGCAATGGGACTGAAAATATTGCAAGGAGGAACTTCAGACATAAAACCTGGCAGTGGGGGTGGGGGAATATAGTATGTTAATTTTTTTAATGACTTTCACTTTTGTCTTTTGTGCTGTGCCAATGGCTATTAGCTGTTCTAAAAATATCACAGCTATACAAGTTTACTTGATCACGGCAAAACACTTGAGGGCTATCTGCACATAATAGGCAGGGATGCCGTCATGGGGGATTTTCTATAGTAAACAGGCTCATATAAATGTAACACACGGAGGAAACGCACAAAAATGCCCATGCAGTCAGCTCATTCATGGGATTCAAACCTTGGACCGAAATACCACCGTTCAATGTCTTTATTGCTCAGTTGCTGGTGGGCCATGCTCATACAATAATTTGCAGAAACAAATTATTTACTATTTTCCTTGCAACACTGACTATTGAACAGCTTAATATCAATCGATTTATTACACCCATAAGGTAATTTAACAACTTAAATTACTGACAAAAAGGTTTCTCATTGCACAATTTGTTTTTAAAACAGCATTTAAAAAAAAAATAACCGCTATTTTTTGCAAGCAAGTCATATATAAGATATCAAAAAGCCTCATATATCTTGGAAGCCTCAGTTTGGCCATGACTGACATAGACCTATAGTCTGTGACTGGACAGGTTGAAATATTAGCATATCTGTTCGACTGCATTTGCATGAATACACTAAGTAAAAACTTATCAGGAAATTCAAAAACAAGACTAACAGTGATTAAAATTTTCATCTATTGCTCCACATACGTGTTGTACTTGTAAGAAACTTAAACTGATAAATTTTGACTTACACCTTGAAGAAGGGAAAGGGGATACAAAAGAAACCTAAATACATACAACTGTGGATTAGCATTTAAGGTTGAATGACATAATTTAGCATAATCTAACTTCAATTACTCTCAACAATACTTTAGTGGGTAGGGCCTTCCACATTCGGACATATTAACTACATCACTTCCCAAAACGTTCCAATGTAATATTTATTTATACTTGCAGGTTATGCAAATAATAAAAGGAAAAAATAATAAATTCAGCGTTACTTGAAATTGTTATAACTGTCATCAACTTTACATAAAAAAATAATATACGGAAAATAAAACAGAAAGAAATGCTAGTTTGCTTTTAATTTTATATAGCTAATATTTAAAATCCAAAAGATTTAGGAAAGAAAATTACCCTAAAACCATATTCTGTCAGAATGCGAAACTGTTTGCTGGCATGGACTATATCTCTGCACAAAGGTTTCCCACCCTGAAAATAAACAAAGAAAACATGCAATTACAGAGAAAACCATTCTACATTTTGCATCAAACAGGACATTAAATACGAAAAAGAGCAGACTTCTTTAACAAATAAATGTTCACAATGGAGTTACATACAGCTATATCTAAAAATAACAATTAAAAACATCTCTTTATGACTAGCATCATTTATCTAATTTATTGCATACATATTATAAATGATGCATAATATTTTACTTTCATTAACATATTTTTAAACTGCAAAACTTTATTCTAATGAATCCTTAAAATTTATTTTAGCTGTAAAAAATGACATGACTAGCATCATTAATTTATTGCATACATGTTATAAATGATGCATAATATTTTACTTTCATTAACATATTTTTAAACTGCAAAACTTTATTCTAATGAATCCTTAAAATTTATTTTAGCTGTAAAAAATGACAGTTTATTAAATGAAATCTTCTTCACATGATTTTTTTCCTTTTATAGAAATTCAGATATTACAAAATTAAGATTTATTATTTAGGTGATCCTACTATTATCTGTGCTTCAAGTTCACCACAAGATACAACAAAAGGCAAAAAGATTAGCTCATAATATCAACAAAATTTTGTCAATCTTGATACCTCATTATCCAAGCTTGCCATTCCTCATTAAGGCTGAATTCTTTTCTGTTCCACTTCAGGCCCACAAACATTAAGTATGAAGCTTGTATTGTGAAGTATAAATTATTTTTTTCATATTCTTAATTTAGCACACAACTATACGTAAAATCTTATAAATTATAATAATACTCTTTCCTTTCAATTTCTCTAGCATGAATGTATGTAATCCCTCCTCAAAATGAAGGAATATCTTATCATTTATAAAATATACGGCAGAAATTTTTTATTAATATCATAACGAAATTGTCTCTAAGGAAAACTGCATTTAATTATTACAAATTTAATTAAGTAGTTGATTATTCTAAAGAAAACTAATTATTACAAATCATTTATTCAAAGTGTGCAATACCAGTATTTTGAATTACTTTATAACAAATACTACCTATCAACTCTAAATAAATTTATGGAAAAAGTGCACTAATTCTGCCCCCCCCCATTTTTACAATATATCTTCTTCTTCTTTTTTTTTTTTTTTTCCATTCTTAAACTTCATTCAAATTAGAATACCATTAAAATAAATAGATTAATTAAAAAAAAAAAAAAAAAAAAAAGGCTGTCAATAGCTAAATTTAAAAGAGAACTTTTAATTTCCTGGGTGGCATATTTCCAAGCACGATATAAGAAATTATACAAGTTACAGAAAAAGGAGGAACATGACTGATATTAATGTTAATTTAAACTTAAGTTAATTTTCTTGCTTATTTCTGAAAGACATCTGATAGGTATTTGCAAATAGATTCACATTTAAAGTCATGCATTAGAAATACAAAATATAGTGTTTGGGAACTCATGCACACTCTCTATTCCAAATCACCTTACTTATAACCAGTCATAGTCATGCATGTTTCAAAAACACTGCTCATGACTGTTAACAATCAAGATAGTTTTCACTTACAGCTAATCATTCACATACATTCCTTGTTGCATACAATCAATAAATTTCTTCTGTTACATAAAACAGACTAATTATTCACTGCAGTTAAAATATTTTAAGACAAATCAGATACTGGTGTAAACAGACATTTACATCAGATAAATAATCGAAGTCGAATAAATTATTACACCTATCTAAACCCTGCATGTTATAAAAAAATAAAAAAGCAGGGTTAAAATTTTTTGTTACCTTAAGTTTGCGCCCAACAATGCCATCATATGGCGCTGGTTGTAGGATTTTAGCATCAGTCCAATTTCCAATTAAGTCCTTCTTAGAATCATTTTTGAGATTATTTTTTTCAGACATATCTTCCAAAACGGAGGACCAACCGGGTGGCATCATTTCGCTCCTCTGAATGAATGAACAAAGAAATTAAAAATATTCCGACACAGGTAACCTGATCAGTGGTCTACCTCGACAGTTGTCAGAACACATATTTTCATAGCAAATTATTTGCAGAAATACCACCTTTTAAAATTTCAAATTATATTTCATTAAAACACAATTTCTTTTTAAAGGAATTTATTAGTACACTCATGACAAAGTGATTATACTAGCAATTTATTTATTTCTTTAATTATTCAAACATTACGGAAAATCATATGCTAAGAATGGCTTAATATTAATTGGCAGGAGGTTTGTAAATATTTCAAAGAACTTATTTTCATAATCACATAAATATCAGATGGTTCCAATACAATTTCTGTATCCTGCTTTAAATTCTTTTTGTGATCAAAATCTTTGTACGAAATAGGGTGCAAATTATATTAAAACTTATTTAGGGAGATAAATTTATGGCTTGAATGAAGTCTAGTGTTAGCTCAAAAGTTGCTTAGAAGACAAAAAAGAAGCTACATTTTCAAATGCTCGCTGAAAAAAATAAAATCGCATTTTAATGCGATTGAAGGAGTTAAACTAAATGAAAAGTATGTTTTAGATGTAATAAAAATATATTCCTTTCAAAATATAGCTCAAAGATAATATTTTAATGAGATATAGAAAACATTTTTCCTAAATATAGAAACTAACTTCTCATACATCAGTTGCACACATGTAACTAATTCCTATCATAAATAAGATTGTTAACTTTATTACTAAGCATATAATATAAAATCTGATCAGGTAAGGCATTCTGGAAAAACTTCCAAACATAAAACACTTTCCCAAATACAATAACATCTAAAGAATAATTCTGAGCAGCATTTTTGAGTATACTTCTTTAATAGGGGCAATTCAATCAAATAACCTATCATAAACCATTCACTCTAAAACAACACACACACAAATATAACATGCATGACATGATTCAACACTACAAGATAATCATTCCCATAAAAATTCAGAAATGCTGATCAGGTAAGGCATTCTGGAAAAACTTCCAAACATAAAACACTTTCCCAAATACCCATCTAAAGAATAATTCTGAGCAGCATTTTTGAGTATACTTCTTTAATAGGGGCCATTCAATCAAATAACCTATCAAATTTCAACCAGTATAAACCATTCACTCTACAACAACACACACACACACAAATATAACATGCATGACATGATTCAACACTACAGGATAATCATTCCCATAAAAATTCAGAAATGCTATACATTATTATAATGTATGCTTAGCATTACAATAGTACAAATTTGTTCTAAGAATCTTTAAAAATGAAATATCCATGTTAAGTGCTGCCAAAAAATATTCTGTCACTAAAGATCAAAATTTTAAGTGTTCCAATTTTTTCTACAATGCACTTAGCAAATATTTTTCTCTTTATTGCCTGGAATTTTTAATAATTTAACTTTCTACATAAAACCTTAAATTTATGTTTTACCTTATTCCAAGATTTAGTGGTAACATATATGACAAACATTTTTTTCTTCAGAAAAGTTCTGATTATAGGTTCTTTTGGATTATCCTTCCTCCCAAAAATTATTCTTAATGAAACGCACTATGTCGCCAAAATCATGACATAATAACCCCGATGGCGTTCGAACATATTTATGTGGCAATCCAGGGAATGCACAATATAGTACACACAAGTACATATGAATTTCCTTCTAAATTCAATGGTCTTTTTTTAAATCAATGCTTGCTTTTTGCATTGAGTAAGTTTCCCCCCCCCCATGTAACGAACCAAATTGGGACTGTAGAATTTGCCAGCTTATAGAAAGCTGCATTTCTTCAGAAATATAACCTTTTGTTCACCAAGTGGAGAGTGCAAATAATTAGCATTCCTTTAAGTTGTATATGTTCAACAATCAAATTTTATTGAAATGCAATTTGCAAAATTATATGCAAAGTATAAAAATGCAAGCCAGAAATTGATTTGGAGAAAGCCTAATCTCATTTACAATATTGTTGCTTCTTTCACTGTTAGACAAAAGAATATACTTCAGTGATGTTCTATGCAGAAGCGGAATTATCTCCAAATTCAACTGCGGACGGGTGTCATTACCTCCAAGAAGTGTATGTACTTTCTGTGGGAAGAAAAAGGCAGCATTGGATGCATTATCCAAATAAACGAGATTAACTGCAAAGAGTACAAATGTCACATCTATGCAATTTTCTGGTATTTTAAGAGAAAACAGATTGCCATGTACATGAGAAAAAGATTTTTAAAAAAGAAATTACATAAGAATTTCTTTAAAAAGGCTAGAAATATACTGGAGAATTTTTTTTAAATTACTAATTTATTGCTTTTATGGAATTCTCAGAGCAACACGATTTTAAAAATGGATGTTCCTTGGCGAAAAAATTAGTTGTCAACAAGATGCCGTCTTTCTGGGAGGTGACCATAGATAATCAGAAAGTTACCAAAATTTAAAATTTCTCAAAATACATAACTGAAGCAATATTTCTCATACAAACTATCTAATATTCCTTACTGACATAAAATTTTTACCTGTTTAGTTGGCCCAAGCCAAGAGCTTGTATCAACTTGACCATCAGCCCAACTTGAATTAGATTTTGGCTTAGTTCCCCAATAAAATGGTGTGTTGCACTGGTCATTCCATCCAACATTATATGGCCCACCTTGGACATTAGGTAGATTCTTAATTTGACTATGCATGTGGTTTTCTTCACCCCAATTGTTGATAGTGGGAGAATCACGGCGAGGTGCAGGAGGCTGTACATCTGCCCAGTTGGTAATACGATTTAATGGTGGAGGTTGTTTGTTCCAAGTGGCAGTGCCGTCCTTATTTCCAGTAGGCAACCTGATCATTCCAGGGCCTGATGGTGGCATACCTCCAAGGTTTGATAACATAGCATTTGGCCCGACCATGTTATTACTAGGATTCATGATGGGTTTGGTAGACGGCATATCTTTCCAGTGTGAAACCTTTCCTTGGCGTTGAGGGTTTCCCCAAACTGCAGTTCCATCATCATACGTGCTTCCAACAGCACGCCTACTTGGAGGTGGTGATGGTGGTTCCCATCCAGATGAAGAAATTTCTTTTTTTGGTGTTGTTATTGGTGACCAGTTTGACATTTGGCGATTTTTGTTCGAGGATGCCCATGCAGAAGTTCCGGTATCACTGCCACATGGTCCATCTAATAAAAATATTAAGAATGAATAGGCCATCGATTTTTTATTGTGCATACATTAACTCTTAAATTTGCAATCGTAGAAAAAAATTAAATTTTTAATTTGAATACAAATTTTTAGTCTTCACACTGGAAAATCACATTCTGCATCAAGTAAAAATAGTAATTTCAGAAGAATTCTTCAGAAATGCTATATTGCCAAAACCATTCCCAATAAACTAAAGCAATATTAAAACTATTATAAAAATGGCTACAGAAATTTATAATCCGTTTCTCTCCAATGGCTTTTCAATGTATTCAAGAATGTTTTAATTTATAAGCAAGCTTACTATACTTAAAATGACTTGAACTCTTGAAACTGTGCTCACTACACAAATGCTGCTATGGAATGAGACAGCATGATATCCACTATAAAGTCAGAACACGAAAAAAGGAAAATGAATCTTCTCCATAAGAACCTGAGACAAGTACACAAATACCCTGTTTGTGACATCTGCTTTGAAACCATTGGATTGGTAACCAAACATGCTACACCTTCAAAAGTGTTTTCATGCCAAAGAAGATCACTGCCAAATGCTAGTCTAATTTACCTGGCTGTGAAAACTTTCCATCATGTGGTGCTCCAGGTGGAAGCAATACCAGATCAAGGCCCCTTTTTAACATTACCTCACATTCAAAAAGCCAACAAAATTAAGCTGAGATCCTAGGCATCTTGCCTGCCTTCAACACTTTATTTTATTGTTTTTTCAAAATACACTAGCCAGTCACCTGCTGGCTATTCAGAACAGAAAGTGACTACCAGTGGACCATTAATTTGGAATAGAGATTCAATTATGAGCTTTATAACTGCAATTATTTTAATATAGGATATAAGCTAAGTTTCACTGACTGCCTCCAAATTTTAAATCTAATGCAAATTTGAAAAATGCTTTCTTGGTTATATACTTCATTTAACTATTCTAGTTCTAAGACATTTTTAACTTAAAGAACTGTAAAATTTACTAACCACCCCAAGAAGACTGGTTACTGCTCCAATGTTTTTCACTTGGCACAGAATTTCCGCCCCACATGTTACTTGTACTGGCAGTATTAGACTCTGGCCAATTTGCAGGGGTTGGATTAGGATTCTGAGGTACACCACTCCACATATTTGTGGAGTCATCATCTCCCCAATGCCCACCAATATTTGTTGCAGGCGTATGTCCCCAAGGAGGTGCCGCAGCAGTTGAAACAGGAATAGTAGTACCTGAACCTTTGTTCATTCGAAGATTGTTCTCCCATATTTCGGTACCATTGTTCACAGGAGCCCGCCAAACAGCAGGTGGATTGTCTTTACCACTATCAGGTGTAGGAGAATCAGGAATATCCCATGCTGTATCTTGATTAACAGACTGTAAAATAAAAGAACACAAAGTTTTAAAAACGTCAATGCAAATTTTTGAAGGCAAATTCAGATAAGCTACAGGATAGGATAAAAATATCACTCATAGATCAATGTTTATTTGGAATTAGTACGGTAATGCATTCTGCCCTGATTAATATTGTTATTTATTATTCATAATACTACTAATTACGACAAATAATAATAATTACCTAAAATATGACCCTCCTCATATTTTAGCATTAATTTTAAAAAATATATGCAAAACATGCTTCAGATTAGAAAAAGCAAACTATCTACCTAAATAAAATTTTTACTTGGTTACAGAAAGAAATATAGCAAAAACTAAGGAATACATAATTACTATCTGTTTTCAGATATACCACTAACGAGTATAATAGATGCAAGCCTAAACTGAAATCACTCAACTACACATGGGTATTTTAACTAGTGGCAATTACATATTTACATGTACAGTAACTATATTTTTCTTTCAAAGGCAGTCAGGCTTTAGTTGTTTACAGGCATTGGTCATTACCAAGGACAGAAGCAATTGTCTCTTTAATAATGAAGGGATCTATTAGGTGCACCACTGTTGCCTCCTATGGGACAAATTACATCCATGTCTTCTCCAGGATTTGAACACGGGCACTTTTAGTACGGTAATCAGAGTCACAATAATCACTTCCTTTCCTGGATGGCGTAATTACATATATGATTTATATAAAATTTGAACACGGCAATTATTCTACACAGTATGATAAACTCCTTCCTATGACTTTGAAATTTTGTTTAGTAAAATATCCATCCCGGGGAAGTCTTATTTTTCACTAAATAAGACCTACTTTCTTTTTGCTTTGGTTACACTCTTTTCTGCAATTAAACAGCATATAACAAATTACAATTCACATCAACATTTCTGGAACAACAGTGCATAGAAATGCCTCAGCAAATTTTAAGATATTCCCCAATCTAACCACTTTTACATGCTTAAACATTTAATTTTTTTTTCTTACAAACTTAATATATAATTATCATTCTTTACAATTTCTTTCTTACAAACTTAAAATATAATTATCTATAAACACCAATGAAAAATACAAGGACTGAAAAACAGGCTTAAAAAACTGCTCAATTTATGACTGTTGTTTTAGCAATTAAGTTTCATTAATGGTGATGGTGACACATGCAAAATTTAAGCATACTTTGAAGAAATAAAAAGCTTTTCATTAAGTATTTCTCTGCCCCCCCCAAAAAAAAATTATGCATAAAAATCCATCTTATCAATAGAAAAGTCACTTTTTTCATCTAATAAATTACCAAAGCTAACATGAAATGTATAAATGCAGAATCTGCATATCTCAATACAGAAATCTGATGGAGACAAAATGTCTCTTGAAATGCCAATTCAAATTTTACATAAAATTTTAAAATACTTTCAATGAGGGAAAAAATTATGAAATTTCGCATTATTTTATGCAACCCATTCAGTTTATTACAAAAATTCTCTATATAAGTAATTTTGCAAGATCTAACTAAATCAAATTGCATAAAATTTTCCTATGGAAAATTTCAATTACATTTCATTATTTCTTTTAAATAAACTTGCCAAAGTTCGATGATGAAATTAACTAGGAAAGGAATAAAATGTAACAGCAGCCCAAGGATAAAACTATTTTAATAACTTACATTCTGACCCCAGGCCTCACTCATAGCTGCTTGATATCTTAAATCTTTAGCATCAAAACTAGTTTAATAACTTACATTCTGACCCCAGCCCTCACTCATAGATATCTTAAATCTTTAGCATCAAAACTATTTTAATAACTTACATTCTGACCCCAGCCCTCACTCATAGCTGCTTGATATCTTAAATCTTTAGCATCAATCTCAGTATGATCTCTGGAAGTAGCTGCACTTTCACGCTGAACACTTGTTTCTGATGGCATAGTTGATCCGCTATTTTGTACATTTCCTCCTCCAAGACTACAAGACTGACTTGGGTTTAGGCCTTTACCAGCTGCCTGAGCCCATGAGCCCTGAGGTTTCGTAGGTGAAGTGCCTATATATATATATAAATAAAAAGAACCAAGTATATTCCATGCAATTTTACTTTCTTATAATCTAAACAGCGCATTTTCAATTTTCACTGCAGAAAAACAACTTTTTCTACCTTCATAAACATTTTCTATTACATTTTGACTGGAAGAAATAGTATGTCGTTGATAAGCTTGTAACCAGCTATTTTTTGCTTTATGGACTTGTTCCATTCCAAAATAACAGAACATTTTTTTAAAAAATTTCAGTTCTTTACAGCATGCATATTATTTCTAAATTAAATATTTCTGGTTTTAAAAAAGGTAACTGCTTGAAAGAATATATTAAATCTAGAAAGTCAGGGTTTCTTTGATCCTCTTGCACCTAAGACTCTGAATGATACTGCGTACCCAAGTATTTTACTACTAAGCCTACCAAACAAAAATAATTCTAACAAAATTTGTATTTTATTGAAATATTTGGACTCTTGCATATGTTATTTAAATGCTATTTCTTATAATATAAGCAGAAAAATCATAAAACACATTCAAAATAAAAATACAAAATAAGTTAAACTACAATTATATTTGATTTTATTTACATATTTAAATTATTTCCATTCAATAATGATTTAAGAAACCAGTATCATATTTACAGTTGCACTGAATGGAATGTTCAACTCTGAGTACGTGTAAGACATGTGTTTTAATATTCACAAAATATAATCCTAACAAAAAAAAAGGGAGGGCTAATAATTAAGAGTTTCCATTTGCTGCATTCTAATATAATTTATGTGCATTTAAAATTTGAATACTGCTATAACATTTCGTTAGCATATCAAATGACACGGGCAAACCACCAGTAAAATTTTGCTCCCATATCAAATTGGATAAAGTGGGTACATGGAAATTGAAGGGGATCATACATGATACTTTAGAACTGAAGAGGTTATAAATACATGAAACTTTTCTGAGAAAGTTACATTTACTCAGTTCCTCAACCAAAAAATATAACTGCATTAATATTTGGAGCAGTGGGAAATGACAAACTAAAAAAAATTATGAGGAACACTAGTTCTAACTGCAAAATATCCCTGCTGAAAACCAAGAGTTTTAAAAGCAGTATGATTACTTAATTTTAATGACAAGGTAAACCTACAATGCATAACTCCTTCTAATGGCCAATTATGCAAGTTAATATTGTACGTAACATTCACTTATAGAAAACAAAAAACTGCACTATTTTTCATAGAATTTTTTACTTGAGACATTTTTTTAAATAATGATAGTATGATACGGAAATATGGCATTTTATCATAATTTTTTTACTATTATAGAATAATAAAGGAAAACTAACTTGAAAATTTAAAAGAATCTGGAAAAAGTTTCATAATAAATGCTTGTTAATATTATTTATGCACATCACAAATATGACTGACAGTAAATAAAATGTACCTGAAGTTGATGAACCAGGCATATCACTAGCAGCATTATTTGTACTTGTCCTTCCACCGGAACCCCATCCTGATCCAGGATTTCCAGAACTGCTGTTGTTTACCCAGCCAGATGGAGCAGTATTCATGTTACCTTCACCGCCACCAAGTAAACCCATCCGCGGAGGAGGGATAGCATGGTCTTGTCTGTACGAATTATTGCCACTATTTTGCTTTGTATCTGAAAAATCTGAACCACCTGTAGCACCAAGCATACCATTAAAGCCCATGTCTCCATCGACAATCATATCTAAGACAGAGAAAAGTAAAGGATTTTACTAATCATATAACAAAACACGGCAGTAAATACAGAAGTACTTCTATATATCCCATAAAACTTTTTTTTTTTTTTTTAATATTAAAGCATGCACTTCAAAATTATTTACAAAGTATATTAACAAATCATTTATTCATCAGCTAGCAATAATGTTACTTGTTACTGCCATAAAACTTTCACATCTATTTCAAAACGGCTTTAACGTATATTTTTTATCCATATACTTAACACAAACAATTAAAGCAGATCAAACTCAAAATATTATAGAAGGCACATCTTTACAATTGAGGAACCATATGAAATAAAAATTGCAGTGTAATTACAGAAAATACATGCATATGGATGACTCGTTTCCTTTCAATATACCACTAATTTTTGTCCTCCAACAAATACTACTTTTGGGGTATTTTCTCATTATCTGCACCACCATGAAAAATTGCCAACTAATCAGCAACTTTGTAAATAAGTGATTTTTTTCTGGCTACCTTTATGCCTTCCAGTTACTGTTTTGTTCATAAATAAATTATAAAAAGAAGCATTTTATAAAAACTAAGAAAGTTTATAAAAAAAGTTATACAGTTGATATTTATATTTTGGATATTGTTCCCACGAAATAACGGTTAAATATGAAGCCTGTAAATCCACATGTACTCAAACAAGTGCATGCATAGTTGACTACTGCAGTGTATATATTCAAAAACATGGCAGAAAGATTAAAATTCTACAGATTCCAATTTAAAGCAGAAATTTGTTTCATGCAATATCACTGAAACAGCAAAATACTAACATTACACATTACCATATACTCTCTTAAAATTCTTATTCAATTTAAAAGAAAATGATCCCTTTAAATGAAACAGAAGCTTCATCACAGTATATTAAAAACACACTACGAGCCAATAATGCCCTAAATCATTTCACAATTAAAACAACATTTAATATTCAAAAATATTTAGAATCAGTATCACTAACTTGCTTTCTCGAATACCCATGACTAAACAATGCTACATTAATTTTCCTTTTAGTGCACAACGTAGCTTGAATTATTTTTTAAATATCTGCAAGATATTTTAGTGTACAATGTAACTTGAATTACTTTTTAAATATCTACAAGATATATTCTGTACTTATGCCTTACCCTGTCAACTGTGAAACAGACGGCAAACAGGGTGATTTGAGTACCAGTTATGGATAAGTGTGAAGTAACAACATACTCATATCTGCACATTTAATTTGATGTTATCGGATTGATTTTCAATAAGCAATCGTTGGTTTTCATGAACAAGGATATAAATTAATTGCTATTGTTATATTGTTCTTGCATTTTGGAGGGAAAAAATTAAAAATGTAATGTTACTTTCATACAATAAAAAAAGCACTATTCAAAGTCACCAGATTCTACTTTAAAAAAACAGGTGTATTAATAGACATGATGTGGTCAGCAGAATATGACTTAAGCTTCCCGTAAAAGTGGAGGGCCTAACAAAATAGAAGTTGATGTAAGCCCTTTTATGAAGCAAAAAACAGAGTGGGTCAAATACTGATTACTTATTAATTAACGAGACACGAGTTACTACAGAATTCCAAACAAATGGCTAACGCAACATTCGGGACTGATAGGATAATGCGTAAAAATCTTATAGACACAAAACGCATTAGAAAAACTATTTGAATTTTACTAGGTTCCTATTAACTCTGACATAAAAAAGATTTTTTAATTAAGATTTATTGGTCTGTAGCTGTTTTTTTAAAAAAAAACTATTCATGTTTTAGCTATTTAAAAAAAGAACACAAAAACAAGTTCTGCTGAAGTATTCAACAGCATGATGGAGGGGGGGGGAATTTTTAGTTCCTATGTTTTAGTGCATACACGCTCTCTTCCCCCTATACACATCCGTGTGTGCACGTATATAGTCTACATATATGTATGTGTTAGCAATCATTACACACAATATGTGTGTTAGACATAAAATATGAATGGAAATTACTAACTTTAATTTGGTAATAGTCCTTTTCATCCCCATTTTAATTTGGCTATCTGCCATTTCTTTTCTAAAATTAGAAACAGTTAATGATATTGCTTATAACTTTCTAGACTGTGTCTTTCCTACCCAAATTGATCTGTTTCATATTTCTTATATGGATTCATGCTGCAATGTGGATGACTTTCATTTAATCAAATTAAAGAAATTTTTACTATTAATTTCACTGCTATTAGTGGGCAGCTCTCTTTTCACTATTTCACTTGCTGCTTGCTAATCTTGCCTCTGCTATTTATCGCCATTGTCTAAAAACAATAGGCTGACAGCACATTCATAATGATGCTATTATGAAATAAAACTGTTAAATCAACATCACTTCTTTTTCTTAGGAATCCAGTACCCGTTTTTCTAATCTCAAGATATCTACAATTTATATTACATATATGTGTTAAAAAAACTGAAAATTTTAAAATTATTGAACATTAAAAAAAAAATTCCTATGAAAGCATTTCTAAAAATAGCAAACCCATAAAAGTATGTGATGTTTGTGGCTCTAAAAAAGTATTTTTAGCTCAAACAGCTTGTCAAAAGAAAAAAAAAAACTATAAGGTATATTAGAAGCTTGAAACAGGTTACTGTGATCTGAAAGAAGTGCAGAGGAAAACCTAAATACCTCAAAAAGAAACTGAAACCTTTACATCAACAAGATATTTACACGAAACAGAAAACCCTCATTAGGAATTTTAGGAGAATAAATGTTCCTAGCACTGATGAAGAAATTAGCATTAGGAGACAAGTATTCCACTTCTTTTACTATAACAGTGGATTTCAATTCATATAAAATTTTATCAAATCCATTAGATTTTACTTTTGCCTAAAACAAGAGAGATGCAGATTTAGAAATTTTACATCTGGCCTACTACAGGCTAGAAATTTTATGACACTTATGATAGAAAATATTTTTCTACAAAAGTCAGAAAAGACCTTTTTAAAATAATATCAACATTTTTTGCAATTTTAGCCCAGTAAACAATATACTGTCAGACTAAGGGATTTTCACAAATATGGCATTGTAAAAATTATATTACTTTAAAAATAACTAATTTTGTCAATACTCAATTGTTAATTTTGAGATATATTTAACTGCTATAATAAAATCCTGCAGAAATATTTATTGACTGTAAAATAAAATTTTCAAATGGAAATTAACAATACTAAAGTGTTAGAATTAATAGATTTCAATTATTCCATATATACATACATATACACACTTCATGCTGATTGTCAATCCAAAAATTCTAAGATAATGAATAAGACTAAAAATTGTTCCCGGTTTTAAAGCGAATTTGAAATGACAATATAACAAGTCATTTTTCAATACATAAATACTTTGCGAATGATATTTTATTTTAATACAATCAGACAATTTTCAAGATTAAAAGTCCCTCCCCCCATTCCTAAATTATATGATTCACACACTGCCAAGTGGCTTAAGCCGCAACAGTTGCCCCAAGTTCCTGTTCTGACAGTTACACAGACTAGCTTCATGAATTTTTCCATTGTGATGACACAAATGGAGAATTCTTCATAAAAAAACTTTCTTCTCTTCATGTACTTCTTACATACTTAGCCAAATGAACCAACTAACCAAACACTTTTCTAATTGAAAAATTCTCTAGAGGAAACAAACTATTTACAATTGGATAAAGCACATGACGAAGGTGAATCATGCTAATTTCACATATCAGCTACAATGAAGATAAAATATATTTTTAGAAGTTATCTAAAACATTTCCCATCAGCAGCAGATACAATGTTCACAATCGCTTTAAATCACAACTACATTGAAAAATTCTCGCTCTGATATAGATATATGTTGCTTTAAAATGTGTGTACAGTGAAGTGCCATTTAAATGTAACATATAACTTCATTTTAACCACAGTAAGTTCACAGATGAACAAAAACTGTCACTCATAACAAATACATTCTAAAACATCTACCAACTTGCTGAAAGAAAAGCTATGATATTTGTTAATTATTAGCTATAACAACAATAAAACATGCAGAAGAAGTGTAAATATTATTCACATACTGTTTTGAATTAACAGTAGTACCTCACAATAAGGGAAACCTAATGGACCAGACATTTTATCTCTTAAACACAGGTGTCCCTTATTAAAAGGCAAATACTAATTCAAATTTCCAGTTAATCTCCAGCTATAGAACAAATTCTAACGAAGTTCCATAGTTCACCATTACTGAAACCCTCAGAATTGCAGTTAAAGAGAAAAAATTTTTAAATAAAAAATTTTTAATTTTAGTGCATCTCAAAACTTGTGGATTGACTCTGACATACGATTGCATAATGAATTCTAAAAATACCTAGACTTATTTTTACCTGAATTTGCATTTCCACTTATTTCAGAGGAGTTGTTCTGTCTGTTAACACCTCCCCAGGCAGAAACTGTACTTGTGGGACCTTGACTTCCATTCCAATTAGATGGCTGAGTAACTAGAGAACTTTCTCCTCCACCCAGGAGTCCAAGACGTGGTACATGTCCAGAACGTGATGAATTACCTGCAAAGTTATTGCTGCCATTTGATTTCTCCTCAGAATAACTATCTGATCCACCAGTTGCCCCAAGAAGGCCTGAAAATGACGACTCATTGTCAATAGTCATGTTCTCTTCCTTGCTTGCTGAATTATCACGACTGCCATGAATACTCCTGCCCATCACTTGTTTGTTATCTGGAATGTTCCAATTGCTGGAGGAAGAGGAAGAACTGACAGAAGAATTTAGGCTTTGCCAACCTGAATATGAAGACTCGGTATTGCTGTCATTCTCACAATTATAACCCTGACCCTTGTTTTTTTCTACAGAAGAATTAAACTGAGCACCATATGAGGAATTTTGACTGATAACCCTGGATGAATCGTTGTGTGGCCCATTGCTGCGATACACTCCATTGCTGCTAAAAGTGCTGGCACCACCATGACTAGATGATGTATCATTATTGTTGTACCTTGAATTGGAATCCATCTTATGTACATTTGTTTGCATGTCACACAGAAAATTATTTTCAGAATACTCTGGCAAATCTATATAGGGCTTCTGGATGCCGTAAGTCTCAGTGAGAACTTGTTTGGCCCCAAATTTCTGAGTAGGCGAAACTCCCTGAAGTCTGCTGAAGTCGCCACAGAAAGACGTAGAGGACTGTGCACTTTGACTATTGCTGCCTGAATTAGCGTTGCTTTGAGTAAAGAAACTACTAACACAGAGCATGGAAGAACCGAAAGGGCGACCTGACTCCAATCTTTGGCGACTCTACATAGTGGACATGTACTGGCTTAAGGAAGGATACATACAGACAGAATGAGTTGTAGCACCCGGCACACCACAGAGGCTTGAGCTAATTATCACAGATTAAAATTGGGAGCTTAGGGTACTAGCAACACCTGTCTTAGCATCTGAGTTTATTTAAGTCTCATCACCACCTGATCTGAACTTGTTTCAGATATAAACATCTGCATCATTCTAAACAGATGCTGATCAGCTGAAAATAGGGGGAAAAAAAAAAAAAAGAAATTTTTAGTTGCCTTGAAAACAAAAAAACTTTTTTATACTTCACAGTCCTGATTTATGCAGATCTAAAATAGCAAATTTTCAATTTAAAAATACACACATAGTACTTAAATAACAGATGATATAATATCTCTTTGTATAAGTTTTCATATTAATAATACACTGGTCTGGCAAATTACTCGTCTTTCTATTCAAGCTACCAATAATCCAGCAGCTTCCCAAAACCAATCAAAAGTGTAATACTGGGAACAAGTTTGGATTCTTACATCAAAATAATAATAAACAAATTTATCAAATTATTTTATAAAAAGAACACAAAATGTGCCTGACTAAATGCTGCAAAATATTTGCTGAAACATAAGACACCGCTCCAATAATTAGCCATGGCTTATACGGTATACACGGGATGTGGTGACATTATGACGACTTGTTTAATGCTCTTCGTAAATGACGCATTTACTCACAGCCATGGTTTACTGCTCATAATAATGTCATCAAATCCCATGTATATTTATTATTTATCCTTCTTTATGAAAGAAGAGCCTTCCTTTAAACTTTTTAAATGTCAACATAAAACAAAGAAGTTCATTTATATGAAAAATCTTTTTCTTTTCCTGATTTTTTTAATGACCAAATTATTTTTAAAAACCTAAAATAACACTTAAAGAATATCTTATGTGATAAGTATACATGCCATATTACTAAAAATTACATGAATATGAAACAGCTTTCCAAAATTAAATGCTTTCAAAATTGAAAAGACAACAAAGACAGACACCTCAGCTGTCAGAAATACAATAGTATACATACATGAATTAAAATACAGATGAAAAAATATGAGTACCATCTCTCTTTTAACTCTCTGAGCAGTGCAGGATTTTAGATCCGTCATGAACACCAGTACTTAAACAGCATTTATTAACTGAGTTTCTAAATTACTTATCTTAGTCTATTTTCATAAACATACATTCATTAAGATGATATTTACACTATTAAAGAAAGTTAGAAAGCAAAATACAGTCAAAAGTCGTTAATTCGGACACCCATAATACGGACCTCAAAGCTACAAACTTTCTGCGCATGCGTCACGTTGACGCATGTGCAAGACCTTTACGGTGGCGAATATGCTTGTGCGTGTGCGCAAAATACATTTACGAATGCGCATTTAATGTATAACGGACAGCATAAGCTAAGCTAAAATTATCTAATTCAGTTAATGTTGCAGATTGCGTTGTTCCTTAATCTTCGAATTGGATGCGGCTTATTATTTTTTTGCAGACTGTTAGAGCAATTTTATAAAAGTAAGCGTGAACTTTCGATTATGTCATATAGAATTTCTGATATATATTTACTAATATGTAAAGGATCTACAAATAGAAAGTATGTTTCGAAATCCATTAGACAAAAAGTGGAATTGCTGCAAAAAATGGATAAAGGCATATCCTTTGTTTATCTAAACTTTAACGTTTGTTTATCTAAACTTTGTTTATCTTTTAACGCAGCAGCGTGCAATGAATTGGAAGTTGATCTGTCAGCACTATCCTTATCTTCAGGGCAGATGTTTTTATTTTATTTGGCTTATAATTCCTTACTAAATGTAGTATTTCATCTCGATGATGTACTCCGTCTTTGATATGATTTAAATCAAATTCCTCGTCATTATAATTCGCTTCGTGACAAAGGTTATTGAAAACGAAAACATTTCGATTGACAAATTAGTTGGAATTCTCGACACAGCAATTATAGGACTTGAAAAGCGGAACTTTGTAACTGAACAAGAAATTATGTCTGTTTATAGAATTAAAAGAATTAAAGAGAATGTATTATCACATAAAAAATGAAGCAACTTAAACAACTTACATTGAAAGAAATGTTTAATAAAGTAAACAAATAAATATTAAGCTTTTTTTTTTTTTTAATAAATTTTGATAACCTTTAGATCATAATTGTTCTTTATTTCATAAATTACGGTTTCATATTTTAATTTTATAATTTCTGCATGCCATCTTACCAGATTTAAACTGATGATCTATAATTCGGAATCGCCGAAGTCCCGACAAGTCCGAATTAACGACTTTTGACTGTATCTTAAATTATAAGCTAGTATATACCAAGTAGCAAAACTTCTGTTGAACTCAGAGGGTTAAAGAAGATGGCATATCTATAAGAATTGATCATCTGAAGAGCAACATTTGACTGCTGAAGGGTATGTGACTAATGTTTATTTAATGCAGGGGTTCTCTTAACCCAGTGCCCGCAAGTGCCAATGCGCCCGCCACTGTCTACTATATTAGTACTACCGTCAAAAGACTTTAATCCGGACGTCCATAATCCGAAATTATCTATAATCCGGACCTCAAAGCTACAAACTTCTGTGCATGCATAAACACATAATACCTTTACGCATGCGCATACGAGTATACACATGCGCATAATACATTTACGCATGCACGTTTAATCTATAACGGACTGTATAAGCCAAGCTAAAATTATCTATTTCAGTTAATGTTGCAGACTGCGTTGTTCCTTAATCTTCTAATTGGATCCGGCTTATTATTTTTTGCAGACTGTTAGAGCAATTTTATGAAAGTAAGCTTGAACTTTCGATTATGTCAAAAAGAATTTCTGATTCTGGAGCTGCCAAGGGATCTACAAAACGAAAGCATGTTTCGATGTCTATCAAACAAAAAGTGCAATTGCTGCAAAAAATGGATAAAGGCATATAATCTGTTTCTCTAACCATTTCGAAATCTGTTTATCAATTTCACCCTGCTCTGCGGGGTCGGGGGGTTGCAATTAACTGGAAGTTGATCCGTCAGCACTATCTTTATCTTCAGGGCAGATGTTTTTATTTTATTCGGCTTATAATTCCTTACTAAATGTAGTATTTCATCTCGATGTACTCCGTCTTTGATATGATTTAAATCAAATTCCTCATCATTATAAATATCACGAATACACATCAAATAGTTTTCTGGTTGCAATTTTCTAATTTCGACTATGTGTAATGTATGCTTAAGGCATGTGCACGTTGAAAGAAATGTTTAATAAAGTAAATAAATAAATATTAAGCTTTTTTATTGTAAATTTTGATACCCTTCAGATCACAATTGCTTTTTATTCCATAAATTACAGTTTCATACTTTTAATTTTGTAATTTCTGCATGCCATCTCACCAGATTTAAACTGATTATCTATAATCCGGAAAAACCGATAATCTGGAATTGCCAAAGTCCAGACGAGTCCGGATTAAAGACTTTGACTGTATTTTGAATACTATATTAGCAACTATTTAGAATTTTTGTTACCTTTTAAATATAGGGTATTGTTTCTGATGCTTATGATTCACAATAAAATAAAGAAATATTAATTGTTATACTTTTTTTTTTACTGTGCCCACCAGCATTTCCTGTTTGTCAGGTGTGCCCAGACAGGAAATAAGAACCCCTGATCTAATGGGTCTCTTTACCAGCTTATCCCAATGTGAAAATATTGGGAGTAATTCTGTAACTTGTAACTGGCTTATATTAAAGACTTAAAACATTAAACTTAACTAGGCTAGACTAGAATTTGTTTCAGTGTTGACAATGCTTTTCCTATAACTTGATTTATACTTTTTTTAAATCACTGCATATAATAAATGCTGAATAATATCTTTAATTTTTATATCTTCCCCTGTGTTTCAGGTGAAGTGTAGAAACATCCACTTATTTAGCACGTTATGTTTGGCACTTTAAACAAGAGTTAGAAGAATTGGATTTTCGAGAATTTATTTCGACTTTTTAAGTGAAAATACATCGATGTGTACATGGACAAAGTCAGGGGGGCTCTAGTGTAGAATTGGGTGCCCCTTTGATTAGCGACAATTTTTTGTAAAATTTTGGCTCATTTCTGGTTACCATGATAGTTTATCTTTGCTCTAGCCTCCTGATTTTTTTAAAAAATAAAAATAGACTGATGTGTACATGGTCAAATTTAAAGCTGTGCACAATGCCTAGTTTGTGCAATTCTGGGATGTTTTTTTAAGTGAAAATAGATCGATGTGTACACGGACACAGAGTTTATGCAATTCTTTGACTTCTTATTTTTTTTTTTTTTTTTTTTTTTGTGTAGCGGCCATCTTGAAATTGTGTCCTCCTGGCGCCGATCTTGGCGTCAAAAAACAAGGGGCACCCAATTGTAAACTTTTACCGTCAGGGGAGTGCGCAATGACAAATTTGTGCAATTCTCTGATGAGTTTTTAATTAGAAATAGGGCGATATGAACATGGATATCGAGTTTGTGCATTCTTAAAAATGTGCCAAGCAGTGGGTGATTCTGCACTTCCCCTCCATGTTTCTTTAGATTTCTTTTACATAACGGAAGTACTTACGTCTTCTGATAAAAATAAAGCATTGTAAAGCAAGCACTCATCAAAGGGAGACACATGTAATTAATATATTTTTCTTTCAAACATATGCAACAATAAACTTGAAATGATCTACGAGAAAAGAAAGGGATCTTCCAAAAATAATTTAGCATAAATTATTAAATAAAAATTTACTTAAGTTGCTATAAATAAGTAAATAGTACATAAGAAAGTGTTACATTTTCATTGGCACAGAGGAGAACTGACCAACTGAAAGATTCATTATTTTTCAATGTAGATGCTGATTAAAAAAAATAATACATATGAGCCAAAGAAAAGTCATTAACAAAAATCCAAATGGAAATTAAAAGTTCAAAAATTTTCCTCTTCCAAATTATTTTACAGCATTAAATGTATTTTACAGCTATTAAATGTTGCAAACAAAATAAAAAAATAAAGATTTTAAATGCACATTTTTGAATATGTTCATTCATAAAGGGTATGAACATTTCAGCAACTATTAAAATATCCTAATTAGAAACAAAATTTCACAACGGTATTTTTGAAGATCAAACACATTATGCATTTACAGTACATTTGTTTACATCAAAAATAATAATATGCATCAACAGTAATACATAAGTTGTACAGTTTCCTTACAACCATAAATTTTTAATTGCCTTTGGCAAGATACAACTTTTGTTATGACATAAACCAAAAAATTCCACAATAAAATGAGACCTAAAAACGGTTAACAAAAAATTATAATACATAAAATATTTAATCACACGCATTTCCCTTTTTCCATTCATAGTAAAAATTTGCTTAAAATTATTGAGATTTATTTGAAATTTCCTAGGAAAATAGATTTTTTGGTGGGCGGTGGTATTTAAACTTAACGGGGGATATATATATGTATCAATCATCACGCTAATTACTACACAGAATTCAATTTATTAAAAACTTTAAGGTAACTTTTTAAGTTCAAAATTTTTATTTACTGAAAAAACACTTTAAAACAAAAAAAGGTTTATTCGAAAAGATTTTAACTTTTATAACTGATATACATCAAATTTTATTCAGAAAAATTATAAAAGAACCCAAGTATGCTAATACATTTATGCTCATCCCGATCGAAAATATTGACAAAAAGGGCTAACAAGCCAGATCCATCTTCAAACGAAAGCATAAGAAACGGGATACGAAAACACTACGAGACATGCAAACACCCCTACGACTGTTAAATGGACTCACCTCTCGGCTCCCTCAAAGAGTTGACAAAATCTTGCTTTCTTTATTTACATTTTTAAGTAAAATAATAGCCTGTGTGACTGATAATGTTAAGCTCGTTTCAACCACCTCGTTTTCTGGTTAGGATCCATTTTTTTGGACTACAAAACTTCGTTTAAAATCAGACAGAAAGGATACACAGAATACGTGCAAACAATCTCCTCACTTCCTCGCTCGATAAATGCAGTAGTTCCGAACGCAGCGCTGGGGTTATTGTAAAAATCCCAGACGCGCCACGTACAAGCTCCAATCTGTCGCCAAATGTAAAAGTGGATTTATCATGGCGTCCAGTGGTATTGCGTCGCTAAAATGTCGATACAGGCTAAATACGGCTAAAACTAAAAATACTATAAACTAAACTATAAAAACTATGTTAGAGTAATTGTGTTTAAAAAACATTATTGATTTTTATACACAATTACTCTAACGTAGTTTTCGCAATCTGAATCTACTAGCATAAACTAAACTAAAATGAATATATTTTCTACGATAGGCACTTTTTCGAAGAACATATAATAAATTGGAATGTGTTTTTAGTTCAAGAAACTAAAATATTTTTCTTTCCCACATTTAATAACAGTTGTCCATTGCTCACTGAACATGGGTTTTAATTTGTCCACAAATTAAAACTGTAAGCAATTTTTTTTTAACTTTTAAAACATACTTTGCAAAATGCAAAAGGAAGCATTAAATGAGTTTATTTTTGAATATTTATTTTAGTTCTAATGTCATAAGTGTTTCTAATTTACTTCTTAAGTGCAGGAGCTCGCAAGTGGCTACATGATCATAATCCCTGAGCAACTCACTGACCTCACTGGTAGTTTGAGCTTCTGAACAGGATGTTTAGAATTTTTCCTTATGTGTAATGTAAATTCAAATCAATTTCCCTTACAAAATCCTTCCTGAAAGCATCACTTCCCATAGGCAAAGAAAAATTCATCAATTTTGCTGAATTTGCAAACATTAGCTATATACAGGAAATTTATTCATAAAATCTTAAGATGTATATGGGGATCATTATTAAGATTTATCAATATACAAAACTTCAAACATTTTTCATTTATTTTATGATTAATTGTTGAAAATTATTTTATAATTAAAAAATGTTTGCAATTTCAAATCAATATACATGTTCATTTTTTCCTCAAAACTAATTAATATTTCTTCATATATGGAACAACAGTGAATCTCTAGGCTTCTAAACAATAGTTTAAATTATAAAACATGGCGCACATAAATCCCATAAGATTTCAGACATGTGCACATCCACACTATTCTTAAGTTTCCCACCATATAAGCTTTATTCTTAGCATTTTAGCATAATCCTTTTTTTTTGGGGGGGGGGTAATATTTAAAGTGTTTCTTTTCATTTCACTTTATGTCTTGGTGTGAAATAATTTAAAATCCTTCACAATTTAATGCTGATCTAAAAATATCTAATCATCATCTATAATGACAAATAAATACACACTTGCACATAATAGAAAACAAAACTTTTTTTTTTTTAAATTATATAAATTCCTCAGGATTATTTATTAGCACACAAAGAAAAAAATATAAAATTAAACACTAAGTCAGAGTATGCTAAAATTAAATTAGTATACTCAGATTGGCCATTTGCAAAAGCTTTACTGAATTAGTACGATAAATCTAGTTGTTAAGTGTATGTCCTTCTTAATAGGAAATAGCAATCCTCTAATAGCCTGCCGCAGCAACACAATTTATGAGGCAAAACTTAAATTAATAACTGTAGCTTTATAAGCTTTCGTATTAAAATTTTTACCAATTAGTGAACTAATTCCTCAAAAGCAAGGTTTTTTTCCTATACGTTAATTTTACAAAATTAATCATGCAACTCTACACATATTTAAACTAGAGAATTTACAAATACACATCATATTTAAAATACTAAAAAACTGCAACAACAACCAAAAAATTATAATTCAAAGAATAGTTTTTACTATCAACTACTATTGCAGATGTATGCTTTAAGTCAGCGTAAGTCACAACAGAAACTCTTGCTATTTAATCAACATACACATATGTATTACAACTAATTACCTATAATATACTGATGCTGCAGTTTAAAATATTATTACAAATTATATATTAGGACATTGTTGTTCTGAAATTATCTACAATATACTGGTGATGATAATGCAATATACACCTTCATGTCGAATGTGAGCACCAAATGCAGTACTGTGCAGATATGGAAGAATATATTCAGGAATGGTTGCCAAGGCAATACAATGAAAAGTAAATTAATAGTGCCCTCAAATGTGTCAATGAATAGTTATTACTTTTGTTTACTATATATCACATCTATTTAGGAAATGCATAAATATTCTGCCAAGGAAACTGCCAAAAATTAAAGTAAGCGTTTTTCTCCCCAAAGATAAAACACAAAAAGACAATTTTGACCTCGCTGCCCCTAAAAAGAACACTTATTCTAAAACGTAGTTTTATTATTTTAACTATGCTTAGTTCCCTTACTTTATGCAGCTCACATGTTAACAACAACTCTACTCCTAAACAAACCCCATGGACTCAAGTTTTTCAGACTGCTGGGAAAGTTAATTCATAAACAAATAATAGCAATGTTTATGTTCCCAGAAATATTACTTTTACAGATGTTTGCTATTACAGGTATTGACTTTATTATTTGTTTTTATTGAAATAACAAATAATAAACTGCTTCAATTTTTTCCAGCAAGCAGAATTCCATTATTAATATTAGAAATTTTAAACAAGTTCTGATTATGAGAAAAATCATTGAACATCGTCTTTTAAAAATGAGTATTTACATTTTCAAAAATTAATCAATTTAAAATTCTTCAGATTATTTAGTTTTACAAGTACAAGCTGCAAATATTTCTAGAAATTCTTTCAAAAACTTGTCTTCTTATGAGCCTTACAAATTACTTAAATAATATAATTAGAAAGCATGATTACTGATTATATTTTTGATCCTATAACCGTATGCAATAAAACTAACAAAATTTATGCAAATTATAATTATAAAATGAGAATATTTACAGAATTCAGAACATTTTATTAGAACACAATCCACGTACTCGTAATTATATAGATAAATATGCTACACATAAAGGCTGGGCTGATGTTTAAATATTTTGCCACTCGGTTTTAAATTCTGTTGCCCCGATGCCTTACCAAGTTCTACAAATTTTGTTGCCCCTAGATTCGGCTACACAATGACTTATCTATACACTACAAATTTTGCCATTTCTAAAATTTGCTGCATATTATTTCTCTAAATTGTAAAAATTTTGATGCCCCTAAATTCCGACACTCAGTGCGACTGCACTTGTTGCACTGGCTCTCCTGCCAGTGCTGCATACAGGAATGTATTACTTTTATGCTTCATTATAAAACACATAAGGTTTAAACGTTTATAAGTATGCCAAAAAACATACAATCAATTTCTATCCAGGGATTTAGGAATAATTTAGAATGGGATCTAAAATGTCATCTTTCTATCATAGGTAGATTCTGTTAATTTAACCATACACTAAAGTACAGTTCCTTGGTTTGAATTATTTTTCATAAAAAATCCCACTACGGTTACCTACCGTCGGTTAGTACGACTAATTATTTTTAAATAGGGCGATGAAAAGCACTTCAGTATGTTACAATCTTACATATAATAGAGCGCTTTTCTTCAAATTTACAGCATTTGGAATATGCTTAACAAAATGCTCAGAATTTAATGTCGACAGTAAATAAAAAAAATTCACGGCTATTATCAAATACAAGTATTTATTTTTTTATCCGAACAGTTCTATTGATGACTGGATGAACGCAATGGAATGAATTTAGTTATGTCAAATCATCGCCAACACATATGGCAATAATTCAGCCAAAATAGTAACCCTGGATAACAGCTCCTTTAATATGTTTTGTGCCCAGAGCAGTTGATCGGCTAGGCACTCCTAGCGCTAGTGCGCATTGACGTTAAACATCACGTGACCAAGCAGGGAGCGATTGAGAGAACGACCCATCCGACCTTCTTTCTGAGCCATGACTGGGGGGATGTATTCCATGGCTGCTTGCCTTTCCCAGAGACGGTTTAAATATAAAATAGTAACTTCCCTCTTACAGCTAGCTCTACACGGATGACGATGCGATGCGCATTTCGGAAGATTTAAAATATTTTGCTAGGTACAAAGTCAAAACTGGTCATTTGTATTTCAAGTTATCTTCTCTCTATGTATACATACGAGAAATGGGATGTTATATTTATACAAGCGATATTAAATTACATATCAGCTGGGTTTTAAAGCATAAAAATATTTAACTTACTACAAACTAGTAATTTAAAAAAACTTACGAATTACCGTAAATAATGGGACAAATTTATCTTTCATTAAATGAAAGCTTTGTCTCATAAATTATAGGGAATTAATTCCATCAATAAAGAACAAATATTTATACAGAACGAAAATATTTTCATGAAAGGAAAAAATAATTCATTATTTAGTAACATTTCGCCAAATAATAATAAAGTACAGCATCAAAGAATCAGTCTCTAATAATGAATTATTTAGTAACATTTCGCCAAATAATAATAAAGTACAGCATCAAAGAATCAGTCTCTAAATTTATAGCACATTTTTGGATTGGCTCCATAAAATAAAAATCAATAAAATTACTTATCAATTCTCTAAATAATTCTTTTAAAGGGGCTTTCTTAGAACTCTCTCCGACGTCAGCTTTCCTCTTGCTTACATCCCTTCTGGCAGTCAAGCGTTTTGGCGGTGTGCCAAGGGGGATTGTATTTTTCTTAGCTGGACAATAAGGATGAGTTTTCAGGATTTTTTTTTGACGGGGGAAAACTGCAGCCTATGCCTATACGAAATTGGATTATTTGATTAATAGAGGGATGTATAACATGCGGGGCCCGCAGGGTGATTTTCCCGTCACTGATCTTTTTAATTAATGTAGCTTGCACTCATAAAAAAGAATTGATTTCTATAGATATTTTAACAAAAGTAACTTTTCACATATAATCGACACTGCATAACAAATTTGTCTCTTACGCAGTACCTGTATTTGCAGTATTTGCGAACAATCATTTTCGATTATGAATTCAAATAAATATGAAAATAATGAAAATAGGTCAGTCCTTACCAAGGAACACTTA